ATGGATGGCCGATCAGATTGGAACAGAAGCTTGGTTCGGGGGAGGTGGGCGAAGCCATTGCTTTCCCTTGCCAACAAGTGACGTGATGGTGCGTTTGGGTTTTCTTGTCCCGAGTACGTAAACATGCCTTGTTTTCACTTCCGTTGGTGACCTCATGGCCTTGCTCTTCTTCTTCTTGTCTGGAAGCTGGCAAAAGCGTTTCAAGTATATTGCTTTCGGCGGCTGGCGTTGCTAGTGTTGCCGCGGCGTGAAACTTACACCACGAGGTGTTCCTAGATCTGGTCCAGCAATGGAATGGAAATCTCACGCCGTCAAGCTATCACGGCCCATGGCTAGAAATGCAGAGATGCAGCCCGTCATGCCGTCATGGGGCCCTAGTTCGCAGAATGGATCAATGCTCGGAAAGGACCTGAGGGCCTCTTTGGCTGCTTGCATAGCCGTTGAGGGCGTGTGTGACTGTGTCAGTAACACTGTAGCCGATCATAGCATGCAAGACCCACACAGCTCATGATGAATTGATTGCCTTGGGGCGATACCTGATGGATACCAGGAGCTCGGGCATCATTACGGCATTGACGGAGGGAGAGCATGTGTAGGAGAGGCGGTGCTTGAAATAGACAGAGGGCTCATACCATAGATGGCTTCGTTATCGTACTTGTAGCATGATGTTGGAAGCTGGACAGCTGGTGAGCCGAGGTCTGGAATTAGCTGCTGGGGACTAGCTCTTGATGATCAACGCCTCCGTATTATTCTGGCTCAACAATCTTCAGGCACGAGTGAGCGTCGCCGATCTGGTGTCGGGAGCTACGAAGATCTAAAGCACGGATGGGAAACAACAGCTGTCCCTGGACGTCAATGGGCTGGTGACGACCAATGGAAGTCAAAGAGAGCAATTGTCCACAATGGGCAGAGAAAGCTCTGGTATGTTTGCTTGCTGGATGAAGACGGGCGAGAGCGCAGTGTCAACGGCTTGGCAAAGTCGCATTGGCTTCATTTTGAAGCTGGATCATAGCTCAAGGCTGGAAGAGAACTGGAAGAATTCATCTTTTGGTTTTCTGTCGTGATTCGTTTCGATTTGGGCTCATGTTCGATCGAAGTAGCATTGAAGATTGTGACGGAAGCTTATCTGCGATGTCAGACATGATTTAGAAACAACATGATGTCGGGTTGTTGAACTAGCCGTGCAATGAAACCGAACAAGAGAATTTTTCACAATAAGAAAAAAAAACATTTCAGTCAGCGTTCCAGAGGAAATCAGAAAAAGGACAAAAACTCCATATTTTCTCACAAATGCCAAGTGGCGATTTTTTTTCTTGTTCCACGTTGGAAAACAGGCCACCATCATACGTGCTTCCAAAAAAGATGCTTGTATGAGGCAATTCATAATTCGAGACAACACGCCGCATAACTGCATGTATCCTGCAGGTTTTATTCACTTGGTACGATTACCATGTGATGTGGAGAGGGCCAAGGGCCAAAGAAGAAAAAAAACAGGCCCTTTGTATGTTTATTTGCTGCATCCTGCACTGCAGCATGCAGCATGCATTCTGAAGCTCGGCAAGAGCCAGACGAATAGATTAAAAGGCCATCCATCCACACACACACACACACACACGCCCCCAATCCGCCGTGATATCGCTTATATCAAACAGGTCACAGCTCTTTACAGTAGTCTCCCTCTCGACGCACGCACAAAGGCTTCAGGTCTAGCTGGCGGGACAAGGTCGCATCGATCAGGAGATTGGAGAGCTCAACACGACACAGCCACAGCAGAGGCATCCGAAACGAGAGAGCTGCCGGCCTGCAGTGGGACCGGTGAAGATCACCTAGTTGCTTGGGTTAAGCGAGCGAAGTTGGGCGTAGTAGGTACTATTATCGAGGGTATCGGAGTGTACTCGTACATTGCACAGTGCAAGGCTTTTGAAATCGCAAGTGAGCACCAAGGTATGTAATGTTGCCTTGGCTGTATTTTCAAGCATGGACGCTCTGCTCTACTCATGGACGTAGCGCCTATTGCCTCATACTGCACCATAACAGTCCTGCCAACAGCAAACTTAAAAAAACTGCTGAAAACCAAGGGCCTGGAATTACTAATTCATTATGAATTTGTCGAGATGGCAATTAGCATCACGTCAAGGGCAGGATGAAGCAGTGGCTGATGCTAAGCCGAGCCGGCCTCGACATGGCCTCATCGGCGTTGCTTGTTCCATAAATGCGATCCAGGTTCCGTGCTCCGATCCCGTTAGTACCAGAAACCAGGTCCATGCCATCTGAAGCACTAACATCACACGGCCGATAGCACCGGGTACCTTTGCTATCGGTATGTCATGAGTCTTGGCCGTATCGTCTCGTACTCCGTTGACGAACGATCAAGTTGCGTAGCACCTCGAGAGCTTGGTTGGCGTTGATCTCATCGTGTTGTGTGTCGTCTTTGAGTTGAGCATCGAGTATCACAACGCTTTCCACGCTGAGACACCCGACCTTGTGCAAGCAGCACAGCACAAACACAAGTTCAAGGAGCACCGCTGCTCATCCAGCACATGCTTACCAACGCGGTTAATGTTGGTGACACCCAGCACAGCACAGCACAGCACAGCACAGCACGGTGCGTACGAGCAGACGCAGCCTCTCGCAACCTCTGACCAGAACCAAGCAGTACTTTCGGGCTGTTAGCCTCGTACCTGGCGTTGGGACGGCAAACACGCACACACCAAGGCGCTCGCACCGTGCGCCGCTGCAGATGCCCTAAGGCCTCTTGAGGCCAAGCGTGTGATGCGAAGCATTCAATCAGAGCGCGGCCTCATCATGGCTCAGAACTTCTGTCCAGTCCTCGGCGGCTGCTAAATGGCTAGGCCTGCGGCTAGTCAGCTTTTGGGCACACAAGAGTAAGGCATCGAGTTCCGCTAATTCGAATCGCCATCAGCATTAGCAGCAGCAGCAGCAGCCTAGCCCAGCGTTGCGTTTCTCCACGCCACTCTCTGCCTTGGAGTTTCGCCGCTGTGTTGAACGGGGCCTCTCTCGACTCGATTCGATTCTGCGCCGCATGTGGAACCGCTGCCCACTGAAAAAAGATGCACGGATGGCTCCGTCCTCTCCTGCGTGCACCGCAGCGGCCAAGGCATTGGTTCCGGCTCTGGGACATGGACAGCCACAGGATTCGCAAGGGGTGTGCGATGCTATGCTAGAACAGAAAGATGGCGCTTGTAGATGCGACTGGCGTGCTCGTAAGGCGCCTCAAGGGCACAGAGCAGCCCCTGGCGGCGTGCTGTGCGAGATACCTGCTCGTACAGGACAGGACAGGACAGGACAGGACAGGACTCGTACAGTGCCGCGTGCCATCACGTACAGGAGGGTGGGCTTGCGATAAAACGGACAGCAGGATGGCACGCCAAACGGGATAATTGCCTCGTCGGAGTCTTCCCGGCATGCTGATGCGATGTTGAGCCCAGTGGCCCCGACCAGGATGTTCCATGCTGGAGCTGGACCGGCCGCCATGGAATTAGAGTAACATGGCAACGCAACCGTGGGAGTCAATCTCAACAGGAATACGCATTTGAGTGGTCCAGGGCAACGTTGGGCTTTGAGCCTCCAATCCCGTGGCTTCACGCGGCACAAGGCCAGGCCATGTTTGTGCCTCGAATCGGATGGTGAGCAGAGCCCGAGGCGCCCCATGCGTTGCATTGCATCCAGGTACCTTTACAGGTGCCTTTACATGTACGAGCCACCGCAACAAGCTGCCCGGACGAGTAAGAGGCTGGGTGGAGATGGCTGAACTCTGCAACGATACGATGGCCATGATGGAGCGACAAGAGAAGAGAGTGGAAGCCTTCCGACAGGACTCGGGGCCGGAATCGGATAAGTTCAACGCAAGCCAGAAAGAAAGGTGAGAGGTACAGCCCGTGTACCCGCGCCCGTGCCCTGGGGCGCGGAGGTACCTTGAACGTACATGCCGCCTGGGAACTGGGCTGGCTGGACTGACATCAACACTAGTACTAAGAAATAGAAAGCTGGTATAATGCCCAAGTTGAGGCTAGCATGCGATAAGCAGCAGCATTCAGCAGGATCAATCAGTCAATGCATTGATTGTCCTTGCTTTGCTGGCGGGACGTGGTGAGAAGCCTGATGTTGAATGTGTTTTATTTGAGCAGTTTTGCGCATTATGCGAGGCACTCGATGGCGTGTAGTTTTTTTCTTTTTCTTTTTTATCTTTGTGTGTGTGTGGCCGGTAACGGATTAAAATAGCCCAGCATGACGTGCAAAATTCTAAATTTCAACACAAATATAAAAATAAAAATTCAAGGTTCATCATCCGTCAAACCAGCCTCAACAATGCCCAACCGGTATTTTGTCTTCCAATAGCTGCTGAAACAGGGCATCCGCACCATCCGCGGGTACCCGTGGCTTTCCACTCGACTGCAACTGTAGCTGCAATTGTAACTGCAGCACCGTACAAGTACAAGCACACAGCATGGCACAGCAGAGCACAGCACATGCGAGAGAGGCATTAATTAAATTGATGATATTTCACTGTACATTTGATACTGATTCACAGAAGCGTTCAAACCATCAGCCGACGAAATAACAGTCCATCTCCATCCGCTCGTTCGCTGCGAGAGAACAAGAGGCCACACCCTGCTGCAGGTTACAGTGCAGCACCGTGCGAAGTGCTCCGGCAGACGACAGTCCAGGTTGAGCCCATCCCATGCAGCCAGCACCAGCACAGCGTCGCACCCAGCGCCGGCTCTAGCGCAGCGTGTACTCGTACCTCGCAGGTACTCGGCCCAGCAGGATGAGCAGCTGATGCGTGCGACATGCCTCGTACATGCTCGTACATGAGAGACAGGACAGGACAGGCATCCGGACATGATACATTAATAGGTAGGTACCTTCCGTGGTGCTGGCTAGTACATACAGTACATAATCCTTATTAATAGCAGCGCCGTACAGTACAGCAACTGTACCGAATGCACGTCCTTTGCATGTACTGCATATTGCCTTGCATGCCATCAACGCTTTTCCCTCTGCCTGCAGCAGCTTTGCCCTGGCCCCTGCCGATTGGATGCGCTGCTGCAATAAACCTGCTGGGGCCCGCCGCTGTGGACCAGCGCTCGTACTTGGCGCTCGTACCGGCGAGTAAATGCGCGCACAAACAAGCCGCAAAAATACTCGCCGCTACCTTGTCGGTACGTACCTCCGGCGCTGGCCTCGCAGCCTGCACGGAGCTTCCCAGGTCGAATCGGGCGGTAGCACCTGGTACGAGTACAGGCGAGTACAGTAGCGCTCGAGTACCCGTACGGGCAGCCGTGCACCGTGCGAGCACCCGCGCATGCCCTGGCCGGCCGGCGCTCCAGCGGGCAGAGGCGCCGTGTGCAGGCCCGCGAGCCACTGTGAGGCCCCGGTCAGTGCTAGCGGGCGCAGCAGACCAGGCTGGACCGCACAGTGGCGGCACTGTGTCGCCGCATACCTGCCTAGTAGTACCTTCTCGTCGCCCGTCGAGTCACCAAACCTCTTCCTTCTCACTCCGATTCACTCCAAGCAGCAACCCAGCCTCTGCTTCGTCTATTGATGGCTTCGTCCGTCCGTGTTTGAGCGACGCCAGAGACTTCCCGAGCCGCTGTTCTCTGCGCAAAGCCACCGCTTGGGATGCTTCACCCGCGCCGTCTCTAGTCCGTCTTTCATGGTATTTCTACTCTCTTCTCTTCCGCGACCACAACGAAACTTGAAGTACTTTATCGACCCCCCCGCCAAATCCTAGCTATCGTGCGCCTGTACCGTAGCTCGGCCCAGCACAGCCCAGCACAGCACCCCGCGAAAACCGCCCTGCCGAACGCTCTCGTCACGGCCAATCCGCCCCTCGTCTCGCAAGACAAAACCGCCGCTCTGCTCACTCTCGCGGACGGCGGCTTTTGCGGCTTTGGCTTGCCATGGTAATGAATGATTCTGGCCACCGGGTGTCGCGCGCCTCCAACATGTCCAACTCGGCCGCAGCCGCCAGCGTTGGCAGCAACTCTGCAAACGCAGACGACTCTGGTGAGCGATTCTCTCTGACGCCAGCCTCTGCTGCCCCTCGGGTTCCCCCCCCAAACTCGCCCCGACCCGCACACAAAAAGTATCCCTTGCCTCTGACAGCTGACCCTTCATCGCCCTGCGACTCAGCATCGACCATTACTGTCAACACCACGCCCAAGGCTCCTCCAAACTTCCCTCCGCCAAAGACCGACAAGCCTCGCCCGCACGTCTGCGCGACTTGCCAGCGCTCCTTCGCCCGCCTGGAGCACCTGAAGCGCCATGAGCGCTCGCACACAAAGGAAAAGCCCTTCGAGTGCCCCGAGTGCTCGCGATGCTTTGCCCGCCGCGACCTGCTGCTTCGTCACCAGCAGAAGCTGCACCAGACGTCGACGCCCTCTGCTCGCCCGCGAAACCGCCGAGAGTCGACCAGCGGCGTGCCCCCAGGCCAGAGCCGGGCTCGCAAAAACAGCGTCGTGGGCGCCAACCATGCCGCGGCGGCTCCCAACCCGGGTGCCTCCAACACGATGCGTCCGCGGGCAAACACCATCAGCCACGTCGATGGAGCTGCCATGCAGATGATTGCCACGGCCAATGCCAACGTCGCCAGAGGCATGCATGCCGGGCACAGCCGTCACCCCAGTCTTGCCGGCCTGCCCATCCACAACTTCGACCCCGTGTTTGGCGGCATGTCCATGACCATGGGCCAGAGGGCGACGCTCGCGCACGGCCTCCCCAAGCTGGAGACGGGCCAGATCGGCGGTACCGATCTGGAAAACGCCCTGCGTACGGCACCTCCCCTCGCTGCCTTTAACCCCGAATTTGATTTTGAGAGCTACTTGTTCGCGCCGGGCACCACCATCAACCCCAACGCGCTTCACTATAATGATTCCCCGCCCTCGATGGTAATGGAGCAGGCCTCCCCGTTTGCGCAGGCCCTCAACGACATCCCGTCGAACCCGACCTTTGACGACTCTTTTGACTGGCTAAGTGGGTTTGAGCACCAAATGTCATTTCAGACAAACGAAAATGTGGTGGACGAGTCGAGCCCGTCTGCTCTTAGCACGACGAGCCAGAGTGGCATCAGCGACGTCATGTTGGATGGATCAAATCACCCTGCGCCGGCTGGCACGAGTACCATGTGGCAACCCTCCGTGATGGGCCCCCCGCAGATGCCGAACCCGTTTGCTTTGGATCTGAATGGTTCAGTCTTTCCGGATCTCCTCAATGGAGCTCCTTTATCACCTCAGCCAGCTACTCAAAAGATCAATGACCCATACTTCTCCACGCCCCCACCATCGCTGAGCTCGTTGAGCCCTTCCGTCGTATCTGGACTGAACACGCAGAGCATTAACCAGACCCTTGGCTTCAACGCCGGCCCGGAAACCCCATCATCCCTCAGCGGCGTTAACCATGGCGCTTCGCCCGTAACCACAATCACAGATGCCACCAGGACTGCCATTGTGACCATCCTCTCCCAGTGCCTGCCCTTTGGAGGCCGTAAATATCCCTTTACTTCGCCGCAGTCGCCGCAGTTCCAATCGCCCTCCCCGGCTCAGGCCGTCAACGTGCCCAGTACCCAGAATCTACAGCGTTATGTCTCAGCTTACATCTCATACTTCCATCCCCATTTCCCCTTCCTGCACCTGCCCACCCTCTCCTTTGACATGTCCACGTCCCCGAGTGGTCGCCAGAACGGTGTAGGCGGTAGTGGGTGTCTGGTGCTCGCCATGGCGGCCATTGGTGCCCTATATGAAATGGAACAAGCCCAATCCAAGGACCTGTTTACGATGGCTAAGAAGATGATCTTTTTCTACCTCGAGGAACGACGCAAGGCAGACGTTCGCAAAGCAGATGTCCGACGCAGCACCCACAGCGGCGACCCCGACCAGCCGTCGTCGTCATCGTCGTCACAAGGTAGGGATAACTCAGCCCACACGCCCGTCTGGCTCGTCCAGGCGATGCTGCTCAACGTCGTCTACGGCCACAACTGCGGCGACAAGACCATCAGCGACATCGCCTCAACTCACTGCGCAGCGCTCGTCAGCTTGGCCCAGGCAGCCGACCTGCTACGGCCGGAGCAGGAGGACGGACAGGATACTCGCATGTTTGATGACTCAATGTGGAACAATAGGAAAAGTGAACTCGAACAACGACAGGAGTGGCTCCAGTGGAAGCGAAAGGAAGAGCGCAAGCGCACGCTCTACGCCGTCTTCATCATGTCCAGCCTCCTAGTCGCCGCCTACAACCACACCCCGGCTCTGACCAACTCTGAAATCCTGCTGGATCTCCCATGCGACGAGGAATTCTTCGCCGCCGAATCGGCCACCCACTTCTTCGCCAAGGGCGGCCCCGACGCGGCCAACCACAACCGGCTCAAGTTCTGCGACGCCCTTGGGGAGCTCCTCCGCACAAACGAGCGACAGCAGAAGCACATGGCGGCGATGAATGGAGGCCAGCACTCCCCGGCCGAGCTCCCTTCGACGAATCTCAGGCCCAGCACTTTCGGCTGCTTGATTCTCATCAACGCGCTGCACAACTACATCTGGGAAACGCGACAAAGGCACCACAACAAAGTCTGGACCAACGAGGAGACGGAGAAGATGCACCGGCATATCGAGCCAGCCTTGAGGGCATGGCAAGTGGCCTGGGCCAGCAATCCGAAACACACCGTGGAGCGTCCAAATCCGTTCGGCATGGGCCCGCTTTCCGCCGATGCGATCCCCTTGCTTGACCTGGCATACGTGCGGCTGTTTGTCAATCTGTCTAGGTCCAAGGAGAAGTTTTGGCAGCGAGACTGGGACGGCATGGCTGAGGAACTAGCCCGAGGAACGGAGATTGTCCAGCATGCCGAGCACTCACCGGGATCCAGCGCAGAGCCGATGGGCAACGATAACTTTGATAGCTCTCTCTTCACCGGTTCACCGTCAGCTTCAGCATCCTCAGATCCGTCGGGCAAATTCTCCAACGGCTCTCAGTTCGCCACTCGTTCCATTTCCCGCCGAGAGCGGCATCTACGCAAGGCCGCGTTTTATGCGGCCGATTCTTTGGCCATGTCGGACAAGCTTGGGGTAACCTTTGCTGACTTCACTAGCCGTGAGCTCCCCCTGCAGTCTGCCATGTGCGCGTTTGACTGCGCGCAAGTTCTTGCCGAATGGGTCGCCACCTTGCAAGACAGAGTTGGTCCATACTTGGGTATTTTGGGCCAGAAGCGCATTGAGCCTTCGGCAATGCCTGCCATCATGCTGTTGGAAGAAGACGACATAAAGCTGCTAGACAAGATACAGGAAGTCCTGTCTTCGGCGGAGATGAAGATTAGCCTGGATCTCATGGCCAGCTTGACCGCCACCGATGGGGGAACCCCAGATGATGGACAGGCCGGCTATGCAACCAAGATTCTTCGCCTTACGTCCCAGATGCTGGATAAAGCGGCCGTTTGGCCAGTTACGCACCTAATGGCTCGTTGCCTCGACAGTCACGCCACTCGGATGCGGGCCAGGACAGAAAAGTCCGCCATGACTTCGGATTAAATCATACAGACAAATTAATGTCCGGCGGCTGTTTGCTCGGGGACATCCAGCTTCACATCTCTCTGTCACGATCATGAGGGTTTAAGCGAACCAAAAAAAAAAATCCAAAATCAATTGGTCATGGGAACGACCATTAATCCAATTGACTTCTACTTCCTTCAACAGGAAATCAAACTTATAACCACATTCTCACATAATCATACGGCGAGGGACGTTCAACTGTGTTGAACTAATGAATATGCAGACAGTCCGAGCTTGTCCTTCATGGACGGCCTATATGTTTTCGAAGGGCCAAAAGAAAAATCAACGACTGTCTCAAGTTTGCACCTTTCTCTTTGCTATAATTTGAAGAGGCAGGATCCGACGAAATAGCTCGCATTGGGAGGCACGACAAGGCGACGGCTTCGCTTTTTTTTTTTTAATATACCAACATGGCTTTGACGGCTTACAATTCTTTTGTTGCTACACTAGCAGCTGTGGAACGCACGCTACTTTGAGAGCAGCGCTTGATTTCTCGTACTTACTATACACGGAGACGACGGACTGTAAGATATTTGGAAGATGGTTGGTCAGTTTCTCAAACAATATGGGCGGGAAACGGTTGAGCACGTGGGGTCCTGAATGGAAGTACATATGCATCTACGAGTCGTGAGAGCTGGTGCACAAGCAAGTGGTGGGCCCAAGGCTTCAATGATGAATCAACAAGGCTCAGCCGTAAGCCTCAGGTGTATGCAGAGCTTCAGAATCAAACGAGGGATATATGGTGATGCGGCTTGGAACTGTGGGTGTGGAAAAGCGATCACTCATGTTAGATAGAGACGTGTGGATTTTGATTCCTGGGGGTAAGTTTACAGCGGGAGTGCGGGATGCCTTTTTCTGTAGGCACCTTATTATATTTGGCTGTTGTTTTTCTTAAAGGTTGAGTTTCAGAGGGGTCATGGGGAGTTTTGGGTTTTGGGTTTTGGGTTTGGTAATGTTTGCATGTACTTATGGCGAAATGATTAAAGATTTAATGTCCTTGTTGAGGGTTTTGCAGATTCATATTTTGATTGACGCGATGGCCACTTGTAGGGGTGAATTCTTTCTTCTCCTCGAATGAAGAGAGAGTAATTGTTCCTGTCCAATGCCGATTCCAGCCCGTTTTGACTGTATATGAAGCAGAGCGCCTCGTGAGGCTGAGTGCTTCGTCTTTTATTCGGAATGACTCAATGTGCGACCTGAAACCCGGGGTTTGTTGCCAGCCGAGCTGTGCTGCCTGAATTCTGCGCCTAACGAGGAGCCTCAAGCCGCTAAAGACACGGAGCTGAACCCGGCGGGGGCCATAGAAAGATTGACTACAACCGCCTCTTTGCATGCTCACTTTTTGTCAAACTTCCAGGTTGACTTGATGATACATGTCACAAAAGACGATAAATTTCTCCAACATTAGAGACGTTGAACAAGCATAACCTAGCCCCATCTCCTCTCATATACACAAGAAACCATAAGAAAGAGAAAGAAGAGGAGAGGGAGAGAACAAAGAGACAACAATGTCCGTCGTCAACACCGCAGTCGACACAAACTCCAAGGGCGGCCCCATCGCCGACTTTGCCTTTGACGAGTCCCTCGTCGAATGGACCGTGCCCAAATCCGACTGGCTCGCGATCCACGACAAGGACTTTGACGGCGTGGCCACGTCGGCGTACATTTTCGACGCGCAAGGCCGCGTGCTGCTCGTGCAGAGGGCGGCGCACGATAGCATGCCGAATCTATGGGAGACGCCGGGCGGCGCGGTGGACGCGGGCGACGAGTCGATACTTGCGGGGTGTGCGCGGGAGGTGAGGGAGGAGGTTGGGCTTGTTGCGAAGAGGATGAGGAGGTTGGTCACGGAGGGGGAGGGGAGGGAGAAGTGGAGCGTGTTTACGAACCGGAGCGGGACGAGGGTGTTTTGCGGGTTTGCGTTTGAGGTTGAGGTTGAAGGGGGGGAGGTGGTGCTTGATCCGGAGGAGCATCAGGCGTGGGCTTGGGCGGGGGAGGAGGATGTGAGGAGGGGGGTTGTGGGGGGGAGGAGGATTGCGTTGAGTTGTTTGATGGTGAGGAATAGGTTGATGGAGGCGTTTCGGTTAAGGAGGGAGGATGGTGATGGGGTTTGAGGGTTTGGATGAGGTGGTGGTGTATGGAATTGGACGAGAGGAGATTTGAATGAGGTGGTGTATATGATGAGATTAGAACATGTGCGAGATGTGTAGTTGGAAGATTACGAGATGGAAGACTGTTGTTTGACTTTTCATGATGTTTGTGTTACTGTAGAGTTGGTTTCCGCCTAATGCCGGAGTGATTAAGAGGGAGACAGATATTTTGGCTCGCTGATTGGCTCCAGTGTGAGTACCTAGCAGGCATGACTCTGATGACAGCCATGACTTGATAAAGGAGAGAGATTAAGCTAGCCATCTTTGTATATTAAGAAGCTGTCGAAGGAGGCACAGGTGAGTCGGAAGGAGTGTTGACCGGAGGAAATGCTAGAATCTAGGAGCGAATATGGTACTGGAGATGAGATGATGAGGATGTCACCAACGTCAATTCAACTAAATTTGATGATACTCTGCCGTTTTGAGTAAACATCCGCAAGAATTGACCAACTTCACTGACTATGCATTCATTGAGGCGCTGTTTCATTGTGAGGAGTTGGATCTAGAAATATTGTTCGTGTAGCTACTTATATAAATAACGTCGGCCCGAAGCTGAACACGAGTATTTAAGATTCTCGAGTGGCGGCCGTACCTGAATAAGGCGCACCCGCCGAATGAATAACCTTGATTAAATATAGACATGTCATGAGCTCGTGGACCACTCGTAAATAATAATCTTTGGAAGTTTATATTGATCTAATATCGGTCGCTGGATGTACTCGAGGTATCCCAGCTCCTAATACCCAAGACGTATCAACTGGGTCGCCTGAACACCAAGTCGTGTTCGTAAAGCAATCACAATTCATTTATCAGCTAGATTGTAGAATAACGATTGGAGTTGATGCTCTCGCTTAGTTCTCTTGAGATGGTGCTGGATATGTTGTGAATCTTAGGGTAAGTAAAATGAGATATGACTGGTAGTTGCTCAATGAGACCACAACGCCATTTTGTGTATCGATCTCTTGCAATTACATAACCCAGCATGACATGTCATTTTCCAAGTCATAATGATAATAAAAGATCAGCGGCTCGCTTGGAGAAGCAAGCCGATGATCGTCGTCACTCAAAGCTCAATTGACGCGACTCATTCCTCCCGGGATACCCTTATCAATAACTCTATACCTTTGTGAAAGTAAGATTCGTGATGTGGAATCTTAACCCAATAAACTCACCCTGGCAGCTCGCATTGGCAAATATCATATAAAAGAGAGTTTACCATGCAGTTAAGCCACACCCAATCATGTACGCTCATCGAGGTCAAGATAACGGATAACGAGCACTCGTTCGACAAGACCAACTTGAGGCGTTGGTTACGCTTATAAATACGACGAACTAATCCTCGAATCGAAGACATCATTGTCACAGCAAGGCATGCCTAGGCAAGTGGATCTACGCAACTACTCCCGCATCATGCCACCTCTCGTCCCATGCAAGACCCTTAAGACCCTTGAGACCCATATACTGGTTCAATCGATCGACGCCAAGCAGAGGGTCGACGCCGGCCCGGATTCGGCCGGAGGGTCCGGTAGTCGGAGTGGAGTTGAGCCAAGGCGGAAGGGCAACTTGTTCAACACGGAAGGGCCGGGCAATTCCTGGGGATAAGTTGCTCATGCAAGGTGAAAATTTCGATGCTTGGAACATGGGAGATTTTTTTCTTCTTCTTGTTTACTTGAACTAGTTGCCGGGCGAGAGCGGGACTCTTTCTTCCCTGCATGGAAGAAGCGGGTTTGCAGAGGTTCGTCTGTAGAGGTGATATGACGTACTTGTGCAGGTGGGCGTAAGAATCACAACTCTGCTTGACTGTCAGATAAATCTGGAGATCATTCACGATCGATAAGCGTGGAGATGGTTGTCTCAAAGGAGGGGAAGAGCTCTAAACGGGGAGAGCTATAGGGACGCGTAATACGACGTTCAACTCGAATGCTTGGGCGGGGAGATGAGCATTCTGTCATTGTTTGTTCAGTATCGACCGAGAGAGCTTAATCAATCATCTCCAAGGACAATGTGAGATCATCTGTCGAGGCGTCTGAGAGTTGATTGGCGGTACATGAGTGGCGATTTGGGCTACTTGATTCAGGGTTGGTCGTGTGAGTTCCAAATCGTTCAACTAGAGCAAGGTAGCAGACATGTATTTGCAACCCAAGCCAGCGGGCAGAAACAACCAGCCGAGTACACCCGGAACGCCAACGAGGCACTACAATATCACTCAGCATCACCCTGATTTGATCGCGCGTCCCCGGTGGCTGAGCGGCCTGCCCAAAGTTTGGGGACCGCCAGAAAAGTCACCTGGCGAGATCTAAATCTCCTGAGCCTCAGGGTCTATCCCGTTCTAGAACGGAAGCGTCGAGTTAACAAAGAGGACGGGGGAAAAGATGGGGCGAATGTCTCTTTGATTTGTGCCGAGCCGGCAGATCCGGAGGGTGTCAAGGACCCGGCAGTGCCGGCCGCAAGGGCCGCCAGAACCCCGGGTGAGACATGCGCACGACGCTGATTTGATGCGTGAAGAGGGTCTAAAATAATAATGAATAAATAATAAATAATACTGGGCGGAAGCCATTAGACTTTTGAAAATCAATAAAATAGAGATAAAACACGAGAGCTGGCTTGTGCTAAAAGGGGAAAAGGCGAAGGGGGAGAAATGGAGTTGGGCGTCCTCGGTATTGAGGCAGAGAGTTTTGGTTCGGCAACATGGGGCTTCGGAGGGGTCGCGGGACGGTAACCGAGAGCCGAATCCGCCATCTGCTATTGGTCTTGGGTTAAATTTCAAATACCAAGAAAGCTCCGAGCTTGGGTTGAAAGCTGCTGACAATGGAGAGCATGGCGATTGGGGAGGGGGGGAGAGAAGTGAGACATTGTGGCCGGAAACGGGATGGTAAGAGGGTATTTCATGGAGAAGAACAATGGGAGCTTGGATTGTTTTTGGGTGGTGTTGAGACAAGAGAGGCAAGTTGAATTGAAGATTTTGGTGTCTCGTCTCGGGCGATTGGAATGCTGTGGTTTGTGGTTTGTGGGCATGAGATGAGACGAGGGCCGAAACACGGACGGAATACGGGAAGTTGAGTGCATATGCGCATTGCCCGGTTTGGTGATGGTGGTATTTTGGAGTGCAGATGGGACACGGAGTTGCGCCCGGAGCTAGCCGCGCAAATTTTCGAAGAGAAACTAGCAAGGGGGTCGAGATTTTTTTTTTTTTTTTTTTTAATTTATAATTCCTGATGTTTTAGTGTTATTCTTTCTTTCGGCCCTCGTGCAGGGAATTTGTCGAGGTAAAGACTGAAGGTGTTTTGTGGGTGTAAGTCAGTAGGTGATGTGGACGGATGACGCGGTGCAAAAACGAAACGTCAGATGGGCATCAGATCAGACGCGATACGCTTGCATGAGGCATGATAGTACATGAAGAAATGAGGACAGTACCTGAGACACGCGCAATGGCATCGTGCAAGGGAATGTCGCGCACTTGCGCGGAAATGCAGGCTCTGGTTGGGTTCGTGGGAAACGCGCACATCCTTGCGCTTTGTGGTCCAAGCAGCGACCAGGGTGCCGGGACTGGTGACGTCGATCACGATGACAATTTTTTGTTTTGTTTTGTTTTTTTTTTTTCTTCTCTTCATCTTTTGCTGTCTGTCACCCCTTGAATCCTTCGTTGCCAGCGCTAGCAGCTTGAGGTAGATTTGATTGCTGGCGTGAAGGCGATGCTCCGTTGGTTCTGCCAAGGCACATGGAAGCTATGGGTTCTGCCGTGTTTTGTAACTGCGGCATGTTCCATGTTGTATCGGAGCATGGATTGGGACTGAATTCCCTGATGGAGATGGAGCACAGAGCACCCGTTCAGGATGGAATGATTCCCGAGCTCAGCCTGACAAAGCAAACGGACACCAAATCTGGCATCCAATCTGTGTAGCTGTAACGGCACTCGTTGTAATAATAGACAAATGAATCCATCCCACGGGTTCCATTTTCGCGGTGACATCACCAGCCCTATGCTGTGCACTGCTGTTACAGAACTGCCCCAACCGTGCTGAACCAACCAACTAGTGACCAACCCCCCTAGCCGTTGCAGACCAGACTCCCCCAACTCCCCCTCTACAGCGCCCAGCAGAGCCTAGCCCGAGCCCACAGGCCTAGTTCCAGGCGCTACATGGCACTGCCAACTGCCAACAGACGCCAGAAACCCGAGCCTAATCCGCCCGCTCGCATCAGCCCCGGAAATGACTGCCGAGCTGGCCCCAATCAGGCAACGGGCGAGGGGCTAGGCCAGCGGTGCTAAGCCCGGCCGGGTAAGGAAACCAGCAAAAGAGCACAAAAACAAGCCGGTCAAATCAAGGCCAGCGACACGAGCGAGTGACGCATTACGTAGCCGACACGGCTGGTTTAAAGAGCCAGTGCATTGTTTAAGTCACAGTCAGCGCTGCCTCATTTTGATGTCCAGTCTGGTCCAGCTTCTCTTTTTTTTTATTTTGCCGCTGCCACCGGGATTGATTCTCTTTTTTAACCCCTTTAACCTTTGGGACTATTCCGTTGCGAGCTGGTGTAAAGACTCGCGGCTTTTTCTGGGGTTTCTGGTTGTTGCGCGATTGTTTTTCTTCTTTCTCTGGGCAGCTCAAGCGACTTTGGTTCTTCTTCTCCTCCTCCTCATCACCTCATCTCTTTCTTACTCTTACTCTCCTCCCTCCCTCCATCCTCTTCTTCGAAACGAACGAGCATCGCCCATTCCATTCCATTCCATTCGCCAATCAACGCAGACGATTTCCATCCAATTGCTCAGCTCAGCCCATCTTCGCATCTCTTACATTCATCAACGCTTGTCGCGATCCGCCATCGGTCCATCCGTCCTTTGTCCAGCGCCCTTCGCCTAGCATCGCATCGCATCGCATCGCATCGCATTGCTTCGCTTCGCATAGAGCTGCGTCTCGCCTAACACTCTTGCTCCATTCGAGGTACGACAACTCGGCAGCGATCAGCAGGTTTTTTCTCTCTCTCTCTCGTCTGCCTTGTATCCTCTTCCGATTCTTTGCCTTCCGTCTCCGGGCTCCAATATTCTGTAGGTGAGTCCGACTCGTTACTCTTGCTTCTGCTCTGCTCTGCTCTGCTCTGCTCTGCTCTGCTCTGCTCTGCTCTGCTCTGCTCTGCTCTGCTCTGCTCTGCTCTTCCCATTGGCTCCCGAGGTTTGTCTCTCTCTGTGTTGGCGTATCAAGGCTTGATTCATGCCACACGTCTTCTTCATGCTGGCAATGCAATTCAATCCTTTCCCCATCTTTCTTCTTGTTTCTTCACGACTGCAAGCCACGGCGGGCTCCTGCAAGCGCTGTGCAGCAACCTCCACCGGCTTCTGGCCTCCATTGCCCATCCTGCCGCCATTCGCTTCGCCCGTCAATGCTGCAACCCTGTTTCTCTTGAGGCGAGTGCCTGGGCGTGACATTTTGCACCCTTGACCAAGATGCCATTGGGCTCTCGCCGAGCTTCAGTGGGCTCCTGGTGGGCTCCCAGGTGGATGCGAGCTGCCCAACCGTCAACGTCACCACCCATCGACGTGTCCAGCCTGCATTTGTGGATGCGGCGTTGCAGGCTTCATGATTCTGCTCGGCGCTCTCAAAGGCCGCTCGCCTGCATCTTCATGAGCAGCTGCTTCCTTTGGCTCCTTTGGGTTGACATCTGACTATCTTATCGCCGCCCTCTCGCCTCACATAATCACGAGCAACGACGAGACGGGACGAGAAAAACCTTGCCTCGCTGCCCAATGACAACACAATTGAAACTTTTTTCTTTGCCATCCCTTCGCTCGTTTTGCTTCCTCTTGTCGACTCACTCGCTGTCCCGTCGCCCCTCTTATCTCTGTGTCTTGCCACCCATTCGCCTTGCGAGTTGCCCTGAATCTAGACACAAAAGCACTCTAGTCCTCGAGATCGACACATTTTGCCCTCTTTGCTCTGCTGCCAGCTCGGCACAGCTACCCTTCCTCCTCCTCTGCTCGTACTCAAACCACCCCCGCTGCATTAAGCTCTTACGATCCCGTCTCTCCTCTTTTCGTCAGCCCTGCATAGGCGCTCGGTTTTGCTTTTGCCCTCCTTTGCCCTATTCCTATCCCATTCACCGCCGCATACCAAGTCAGATTGTGCCTCTCGCCCAGTCTGGCCTCCACCAGCGCTGCTTCGGCAGTTGATAATGGCGGTCTGAGTGGCTTGCTTTGGCTGCCCTTGATGGTCGTGTCCAGGCTAGCAGACCGAGAGATTCCCATCCCGAGAGAAAGCCCCTCCGCCCCCTCCCCCAGATTGCAAACATGCCAGCGGGAGCTGCAGTGCAGCCACCATCCTCATCCTCGCGAGCCCGTCGACGGGAGTCCTACCGTAGCAATAACCTCAATGCCGCCGAGAACCAGCGCGCTGATGACAATATGCCAGCTTCCCGCGAGTCTGACTCTCGCCATCGCAGGCGCCGCCGACGAGACGACTGGGTCCGCACCAGCAACGAGAACATCTTGTACCGCCTGGACGCCCCTGTCGCCGACGCTTCCGCCGCTGCCGTCCCTGTAACTGCCGCAGACGATTCGGCTGACCCCGTCTCGCGCGCCCCAACGCCCCCCATTGGGCCCCGGAGGACGCGGCCGCACTCTATCCACGTCGTCAGCTATCCCTCGGGCTACGTGCCTCGTGAGCTGCGGACCAGAACCTCCCCTCGCTCGTCCAGGGCCCGTGTCGAATCTGGTGCCAGCCCCGCGCCCAGCACCCCGAGATCTTCCTCGAGGCTTACAACATCAACCCACCCCAGCACCAGGACTGAGCTCCCCGTCCGCTTGGCCTTGACCCGATTGTTCCAATCACTGGCGAGCAACTCTGTGTCCTCGGTCGACGTTCCGCAACACAGCGCATACCCTGTTGGTATCCAGGTCCAAACCGTCCCGGTTACCGAACACCATCCTGAATCGACGTCTCGCCGTAGTAGCCGAGCCAGCCATCCCCGTAGCAATCACTCGCATCATTCTCACGAGACAACCTCGTCGTCCTCTCGCAGGACCCGCGAGCCAAAGCAGCAGCAGCAACAACAGAATTCATCTTCATCCACCCGAGATCGCGACGCTGCTGCTCACAAGCGAGAACATCGAGACCGTCGAGACAATCGTGACCACCGTGACCACCGTGACCAACCGCGGGACAAGACACGGCGCAGAGCAGCTTCTAGGTCCTCCAGGTCGAGGCATAGGCATCGTGCCAGAAGCAACAGCCGTAGCCGCCACAACAGCCGCCAACCGGGCCAGCAGACAGCAGCCCGTCCCCGTCGCTCTTCTCAACAACGCCGCTACCCTCCCAACAGCATGACTACCGCTAGAGCCGTCGTGCCCCTAGGCGGGTATCAGCTCGGTCACCACAACAGCTTCACATCCATCCGCAGCTCAAAGTCAAGCGTAAACGCCGTCGTCACCGAGGTGATTAAGCCTGTCGCTACCGGCAGCGGAGTCTCTTGCTCCATTCTCCTTGCCGAGCCCAACCTCTTCCTTTCTGGCTTTGATCACAACGGCCATGAGCGCCGAACAGACCGCGCCGGCACTGCCCTCCTGAGGGGTAAGATGCAGCTGACCATTAGCAAGAACGTCAAGATCAAGGCTGTCCAGCTGAAGCTGGTTGGCCGCGCACGCACGGAGTGGCCTGAGGGTATCCCGCCGCTCAAGCAAGACCTGTTTGAAGAGGAAAGCCTGCGAACCCAGGTCCTGACCTTTTTCAACGCCCTCAACGAAGGGTGGGAGAGCGAATACGGCAACCAGTGCACCTACAAGCTCAAAGGTGGCTCCGCAAACTCGAGCAGCACCGGCCTAAACACTTCGCCCGGCGTCTCACCGGCAGCATCGATGCGAAATAACCTGACGGCCAAGGAGCTCAAGCGACTCTCTCTTCAGAACGTCCAGTCTCGCAGCTTTGGCAAGGGCGAGACCGGGGTGGTGACCCAAACCCAGGCCAAGGGATTCAAGGTCTTTTACCCCGGCGTCTATGATTATTCCTTTGAGCTGCCCATCGATCACCACCAGCTTGAGACCACCAAGCTGCAGTACGCTTCCGTCAAGTGGGAGCTTCACGCCACCATTGACCGTGCCGGTGCTTTCAAGCCCAACCTGCATGGTGTCAAGGAAGTCCCCATCATCCGACTGCCCGACCAGATGTCGCTCGAGATGTCCGAGCCCATCTCCATCAGTCGCCAGTGGGAAGACCAACTACACTACGACATTATGGTTTCGGGAAAGAGCTTTCCTATCGGAGCCAAGATCCCCATTGCGTTCAAGCTCACTCCCTTGGCCAAGGTCCAGGTCCACAAGCTCAAGGTCTACATCACCGAGTCGGTCGAGTACTGGACCAGCGACAAGCGCGTGACGAGAAAAGACCCGGGCCGAAAGATTCTGCTGCTCGAGAAGACGGCAGGAAAGGAGCTCGCCCCAGAGTGGGCCACCTCCGAGGTTGTGACCCTTCGCGGCGGTGAGCTCACGGAAGAGCAGCGTCGCGTTGCTCGCGAAACCGCCTCGAGAAGGCGAGCCCACGATGCCCTGAAGCGGAGGCAAGCTCCGGAGCCACTGCCAGCGCCGGTGGATAATCTCCTCGGCGACTTGGACCTCGGCCTCGAGAGCATGTGGGGGTCCACCGAGATTGAAGCCAGCGTCCAGATTCCGACCTGCGAAATGATGGCCAAGAACAAGTCTCTTAGACTCCACCCCGACTGCAGCTGGAAGAATGTCAACGTCTTCCACTGGATCAAGGTAAGCTTTTCCCGACAATTGCGAGCTTTCTAATACTAATTCCTCAATCAGGTTGTTATGCGAATCAGCCGTTTGGATCACGATGATCCTTCAGGCACCAAGCGCCGCCATTTCGAGATTAGCATCGACTCTCCTCTCACCATCCTCAACTGCCGCGCTACCAGGGCAAACACTTCTCTGCCCGCCTATACCGGTGAGATGAACCGACCGTCTCCGTATCAATCGGCTTGTGGCTGCCCCGATTCGGCGACAATTGCCATGGAGACGTCTCCCAGCTCCTCGACCGGCACTCTCCCAGACCCGGAGGCGCTGGCCGATAGCATGCCTGCCCCGCCCCAAGCTGTTCATCTACACTCTGGAGCTCCCTCGGCAGGCCAAACAGCAACTGGTCGATCGAGTCCGACAACCTGGGGCCCCGAACAACAGGGCCGGCCTATCCATTTGCTGCGAGCACCCAGCTTCAATCCCCCCGCCTTTGACGACGACACGGCGCCGCCCCCAGCCGGGACCATTCTCGTTGACGGTACTCCTGCCGATATCCCTCCGATCATGACCCCGCCTCCGCAGTATGACGCCGTCGTCGGCACGCCTAGCGTTGATGGCCTCGCCGATTACTTTACCCGTTTGGCTGAGTACGGACTTGGTGATGACCATGAAGGTTCCGGATCGGACGGCGACGAGTCACCTGCTCGAATCCTGGACCGAAATGGGCGTGTCAACGTGGCTCACCCTAGAACCCCCGGCGGCAGGAGGATGCCCAGCCGAAGCATGGAAATCGCCAGACCACCCATTGACCTCAACCTCAGCGCTTTACTTGCACGTTCCAACTACGCACGCGAAGAAGCGCAAGTATAATGTTTTTGCCACATACTGAAATTCTTCTCTTTTACAATATTTATCCACTTTCGCCTTCCGACCAAACGTCGAGGCAAATCATGTAAATGCATCTGGTGTCATAGACGGGTTATCGGGGTAACACCCCCTTCTTTCTTTTGTTATTTCTGTGATCGGATAAAGGAAATGTTTTTGCACATGGGGAATGGCCATCTGTGAAGGTTATTTATGGGTTTGGCGTTTATGGATGGGATGAAAGACGCATCCGCGAGATGTTATTACACATACCCTGGGCTGGAATATGATGGTTTGAATGTGTGCATGGTTTTATGATTGTGGATATTAGAAGTTATTATTTATAGTGTTTTTAGTAATGATGCGACGATGTGCGCTTGAGCTTACTTTTTCTGATCCCTTTGATGTTTGTGATATTTGTAAAATGCACCTTGACTGGGTAGCTTTAGTAGAGTCGGGCACGTATTACCGGGACTTGGTGGTGTTCTGCAACCATGGTAGAATTCACAAAGGTTGCTATTGTATTCCAGTACTAGAACCTGATGCTATAGTTGAAGGATCTGCTGAGGATACAGCCTGAAGCGAGGTTAGGCGATAGTTTCTGGTTGGCTTGTTTATGGATGAGAGAGTATTTGTCTAAATACTGTTGGATTATATTACAACTCCAGCGAACTGTCTTATACTCAATTACCCACCCAAGACATCAGCCAGCTAATCTAACCTGCTATCTAGCTAATCCACAAAGTCTGCCAAACTCCCTCCAGTTGGGGCGGGTGAAGCGTGTTATGTACGGTGAGATTTAGTGTGGCGCTGGGTTGTCGGTGGAGCGATGTTGCTGGATTGTGTGCGCTGATGGATTGACTGATTTTGTGGTTAAAATGGAGATGAAGGAGTTACTGTTCTCTATGGCGAGACATTCAACGCAAAGCGAATTGAGAATCTGTGCTACACTAGAGATCTATTTCTTAACGCTGAATGGAATTCGCTAAAAGAGCGTGAAGTATATGTGTATTTGCATTACTACCCTGCATTCTTGCGATGGGCAGCCTTAAAACGGTGACTCTGGAAGAAATCGAAGCTGTTGAGAAAAAGGCAGAGATTTACATCTCTGGTAAAGCTACATTCCTTACTTACAATTCCGGTAGGCAGCGTATCAGAGGTTTACATCTTCCAGCGGAGTAAGACTGGACTGACATGGCGGCAACACTGCTAGACTGTTCTAATTAATTACTGAAAATGATGCTGATGACGTCTTGAATTAGCTCTCTCAAGAAGGCGCGGATCTGAATGAGAGGGATTATACCGGATGGGCTCTGCTTCATCTCGCTGAAATGGAGATGAAGGGGATGGAGATTGAGGAAATTTAGTAGAGGAAAGGCCTGCTATTGTCTACCTGTAGGTAAGGTTGCTGGGGAAAATGCCAGACAGCAAAGTGTACGGGTAGACGAGCAAAACGAGAGCTTCGAGTGAGAAAGGTATAGTCCGTAATAAAATATCATAACGGGTACGTCAATCTTGCAGCTTTTGCAATATCTGCAAGCTTATTAGTAGACTTATACGAATTCGCCCTAGGGGTTGGTTTACGTGGCTACAACACTGTGACTTATAAGCTATTCTACGTATACTAATATTAACGCTGACATGTTTTAATTTATCTTGTAGAACAACGCACCAGCCTACTCAGGCATATACTGGCTCTATATATTTCATCTCACACTATGAATCTCCAGCTCAAATCTCAATTTCTCAAGTACCCCATCCAAATATCCGTAGTACATCTATTTTTCCTTCCAAATTGCGGTTGCTGCCTGGTAAAACACATGTAACAAGCCTTTTTCATCCACCACCCTGCCCAATAAACACAAGCCGTTCATCTAAACAAGTCTTCACGCAGTACCATATAAACCCCCCCATTCCAATCAAGCCACAACACTTTGAAACACACTTACAATCATATCCATACTCTCACACACACAAACAACCCTCTCACCCTCCAAAAGAAACGTCTGAACCAATTTTTCAGCTATGGGAATTCCGCCTCGGCGGCAGCGACATGCACTGCCTCGTCCTCTTCCAACTCACAAACAACGAGACGGCGCTCGACAACCTGGCGGCAAACCTCTACGGCTGCGGCAAAATTTCGATTTTTCGGCGGACATATACGCAACAAGACGTGGACAACATAAAGGCGTCTGCATTTGACATTGTCGAATGCTTTAGTCACAGCAACGATTACGTGGATCTTATTGTTGCAAAAGGAGAGCTGGATATCAAGCCGGCGGCGGATGGAGAAGAAGAGCAGTGGTTTGATGATGTTTTCAAGTGTTCAAAGTTTCCGAGGTGGGTCAATTTTGGGAGGGGGGGGGGATTGTTGGTATGTTCAGGGGAAGGTTTAAGCCGGAGAAAAGGGAGGAGGAGGAGGCGAGTTGAGTGTATTTTCGATCATGTATTCACTTTGGTGTAACTTTAAAGAGTACATCGTGCCTCGTAGTTCTAAACCAGAGTATTATATTATACTCGATTTAAATAATCCGACGCTCAGTCAACGAATACATATGTCAATATAAATTCAACTAATGCTCCGGCTACCAAGGTCCTGAGTTACGGATGTACTCTTCCAGCGTCGTAGGTCTGTCGAATAGGAACTAAAGTATCATCAAAATCAGTACAAATAGAAAGACACCCTCGGAACTAGATGGGTCCTTACTTGAGTCGCCTCCACTGATCTCTCCTTGGCTGATGGACCGAAATACTCAAAGTCTCGCAGCAGCTGAAAAGCCTCGGAAATCTCCTTGCCCCACGGAAGCAGCATATTCAGCATCAGACACATGCTCATGTTTCAAAGTCTTGCCCGTAACTCTCAAGAAAGTCTCGCAAAGCTCTTTGACCGTATACCATCCCACTGCCAGTACAAAGTGCTGTCCCAATGCTTCCGATCTCTTCAAGAGAGAAGCAATGACCCATTTTCCCGTGTCACTCACAACATCTATCCAAGGAATCTCTGTTGTTTCAAGTAGTGGACTCCTCATAGTATACCCATCGCTCGTCTATATTTCTTAGTAAAAAGCACAAGTTCAGGTATTAGTTCGTTGGTGCGCACCTCTGACAGCATAAATATTTTCAGGTTCGACATGAAGCAGCCGAAGTTTAGGAATACCGCGGGAATACCAATCGAGCGAATGTAGCCTTCCACTACTGCTTTGGAATCGAAATGGCGAACATTCACAAGCTTTCCGCCGCTGACTATGCTCGGCGTTGGCTACATGCAGAATAATATATAAACCTGTTACAGCTTACTGACCTGAGGTTGCATTGCAGAGCGTAGACCAGAAGAGTAACTCAACACCAAAAGACTTGCAGGCGTCTGCAATGTATTTACCCTGTGCTATCTCAACTTCCGCGGATCGAGACACCCAGACTGTCTATGTATGAGCATGGTAAGTATTCTCAGCCCGGTGGATATGATGTGACTGACAATTTGTCATGGCAAACACGACGTCAGACCCTTCGATGGCTTTTCGTACTGCTGCTTCATCGTTCATGTCGGCCTTTTCACGTTAGATACTCTGATGACACTGAATACACAGGCTCCATACCTGAACCATCTGGACTCCTTGTCGAACCAGTTCCACTGATCGATCATTCTCCAAAGATCGAGTCACACCCCGGAGTTTGTATTCTTTCGAGAACGACGCATGTTGTAGAATGGATTGGATAACCGCACCGCCTTGGTTGCCAGTGGCGCCGAATACTGTCAATACTTTGGACATGATGAATATCGATTATTTTGCGTCGTAGTGTGATGGAAGGTATTGTAACAACTTTGAATGAGTTATCGTAACAACGTTGAATAAGTTGTCTGTTTAAATATCGGAAATAGAAACAGCATATCTGATTTGTAAAACCAGACTGCTTACTTATTAGACTTACTTACTATGCTAGTTAGTATGCTTTCAACAATGCTAGACCTGTTACCATAAATCCGGTTCTTACAACAGGGCAAGGAGGGTTGATGTTACGAGTGGATACTGGAGTCTTGTATGTTCGGCAGTTATGTACTTAATCAGCATCACTCTTGGTAATCAGCTGTATGGAGTATTGTTGCTAATACGCAAAGCCATAGAACACGCTTTTGAATACGCCTCACTAATACGCAGGTATTTGACTAGAAACCCAGCCTGTCAAGCCGTTACGGGAACTACCGCTCCAGAGTAGGTTGATTTATTAATATGACAACAAAGTCTAGGGTGAGTGGGTTATTTTGTTGTATTTGAGCAATGAGATGTAATGAATATTAGCTGTAGGAATAGTATTCAAGATGTTTCTATCATTGGCGTCCAACGCACGTCCATTTGTATTCATATTCAGTATAATTCATTGGCATCATCCAACAGCTTGTTATTTCAGCCTATACAGGTTAGAAACATAAACTTATCACTCAGGGTTGCCATATCACCAGTAACTTCTTTCGCCTGCAATGCAAAAGGGGGCCAAATCGAAGGATGGAGAAGGGTATACCTCTATTGTTCTCAGGCTTTAATCTGCCATACCTTTAGGGTTATCTTACGCGTGACGCAATAATGATAAATCTTCAACGCCGTACACGCAAAGGGCCTTGTATCTTTCTTCAACTCTTGGCTATATGACGAGGGATAGAGCCGAGAATACTCGCGGAAACCCCAGACTTCGATTACGTGGGGGCAAGCGCCATCTCAACGCCCGATTACACCCAGACACCGCGTCAGTGACTTGTATACGGCATTTACTTATCTCCATACCGTCAAGCCCTGTGTAAATGGGTTTCAACTTGGCAAGACGAACGAACTTTTGCCTCACATTTGAGGATATCACCCTATACCATCCACCGGGGGAGTACACGCGAAAGAATGCTATTGCTATGGTAGACGGAAAAGGCGACCCGGTTGCATTTGGCCGATCTTTGCCAATGTTTGTATCACCCTCATCCCGGGCGTAAATCAGGCGGGGGATACCGGGCCGATGAGAGGCAGGCGAGGCAACGTCCAATCAGATTTCCTCGAGACGGGATATATTCCTTAAGACGGGATATAATACGGTGGTAGTCTACTCCGTATACGCCATAAGAATCCTCCTCCGTAATTCCGCCAAACCTCAGAGCATTTGCGCCTCTTTTCATCTTCCAAGTCTACCTCTTCTGACATATAAAGCGTGCAGATGTGGCCTTGTGCGATAGGTGCAAGGCCTTTGGCGTCTACGGTGCTAAACTCAGTTTGTCTGACCATGACTCGAATGGAGATCAGCTTTCATCATGCTCCATCAGCAACTGGCACGCTCATCTCAAAGGAATTCATGAGTCTTCAGGTAGCTGCAACCTCTGCGCTTTCGTCATGAAAGGTTGGTGAGAATATCGGCCTGAAATCATCAAGAGTGACCTACAGAATTCCTCGTTCCCCTAGAAGATCCACCAGAAGATCTCTATGATGACATTGCGACCATCGATGTATATCTCAATGGAGAGGTTGAAGTGGATGTCGAGAAGATCAATCGCTCAGACAACGGCCGCCATAAAGTGCAGTTCATACTGACAATCAGATGCCGTGTGGGGGTTAAAACTTCTTCAGACGGCCGTGGGGCGTTATGTGCTCGATTTAGAATTGTAGATGCCGGTTCGTACCTCCGCCGAATGTATTATAGAGGCTCTAGCACTGACATATTCGCAGACTCTAATAGTTCTGTGTCGTAGGGTCGCTTGGCTGGTCAAGATCCTTTATCCGTTCAAGCTGTTCAGATATCTCGCACTTAGTCAAAGATCTGTAACGATAACCACCAGTCTTGTGTTGCTGAGTCTGCTCAGCTGCCAGCTGGCTTCTTATATCTGACCCTGCTGGTTCTACGCATGTTTTGCTTAAAGAGCTGCAGGAGTTTAAACACAGCACAGAGGGTCGCTATGTTGCCCTCAGCCATTGCTGGGGCACAGGCCCGAATCAGTGTACAACTCGGTCAACTTCACCAAAGCAAAGGCGTGGAATCAAGATATCTGAACTGCCGCCGACATTCAGGGATGCTGTGAATGTTGTAAAACACCTGAGCGTGCGATATCTCTGGATCGACTCTCTATGTATAGTCCAGGATGACCCGCACGACCGGCAGATAGAATTCGCCAAGATGGCTTCAATATATCGAGACGCCTATTTCGTCCTTGGCGCTGCGTGTGGCGAGTCTGACGCTCAGGGATTTCTTCACACGCGCCATTAGCAGGATGTGGTTACACTTACACCGTCGGACCAAGGTACAACTTTGGCCTTACAACTCCTACCCACAGAGACGGATGAAGATCATGTCGACCTCGTTTCCCGGGAACCTCTAAGTAAGCGCGCTTGGTGCCTGCAGGAGAAAGATTTGCCTCGAAGAATGCTGTCTTATGGATCCCAGCAAATCATGTGGGAATGCTAGAAAATGAGCGTGAGAGAAGAGGGCGACACAGCGCTGCATGGCAATAGCCATCTAGAGCGGATCTGCAAGACGGCTAACATACCGGCGTCAGTCCTTGCACGTACTTGTAGGGAGCGTTGTATAAGAGACAAGGATGTGAATTGTGTCGACTGGTATAAAATGGTTGAGGACTATACCGGACGATTCATCACAAAGAAGAATGGCCTAATCGAGGGTCTAGCTTGGTGCGGCAGTCAAGGAGCCGAAAAGTCAAAAGAGCTCGAAGAGTACATCTCTCCGTCATGGTCTTCGGCATCCGTCGCTAGAACAGTCCGGTTCCCTATATACAGCTGGTACAAACGAGCCCGCTGGTCCGCAAACATGTCCGATTTTGAGCCACTGGCGGAATATGTGAGCCATTCGCTAGACCTTCTGCACTTGGATCAACACGGACGTCTCAAGGGAGGAGGGTTACGCATCAATGCGCCTCTGTTTCCAATCACATCTCTAGAGCCTCGCCAGAGTTCACCACCAACTCTCGTTGTTCACTTTGGCGTGACCCCACCGAGATCATCTTTTACGGACAAAACAATCGGGGTGCGGCGGGAGTGCCCGCACGAAACAATAGAGGCTTGGCTGGAGGGCGGATTCGACAACCCACACGAGGGCGCCCCTCTCGACCAACTCTTCGTAGTCTTCTTAACTCGGCTACCATTTATCCTTGAATATGGTTTCATGGAACACCGATTCGGCCTCATTGTCAAGAAGACGGGAGACGGTGAGCAGTACCGGCGAGCTGGCTTCGTTGACGGGTTTGTTCTGCGGAAGAAATGTACTCCTTTGATGAGGCAGGCTTTGAAGATTTCAGGTGATCCTGACGCAGAGGCATATGGAGTTGCGGGATCCCGACGACCTTTACAGGATGGAGATATGCATAAATTGGGCAGGCGGCCAAACAGACTAGCATACGATGCGTTGCGGGTTTGGGGAACCGATATTACTCTAGTGTGATGGGACTATCAGACTTTTTGTTTGATCACTCTAATCAACAACAATTGAATGTTACAAAACTGGGCAGGTCGTTTGACTGGATAAGCAAAACCTACTCCTTGTGCTAAATAGCAGATATTAAGTATCTTGTGCTAAGTAATAATGCCAAGACTGGCCATATTTATGAGTATTATAGTTAACCCTATCTCATTATTCCACTGCACTCTATACTGCAGTGAATAAAAGCTCATGAGCAATGAGGTAGAGGGCATGGTATAATAAAAACAGGGGGCTTTGTAAAGCTAAATGAAGAATTAACACTTTAGGATTATTATCAAAGTACAGTATTCGTCGACAGAGATAGCGTCTGTTTGCTCATGTCGAAATAATGACTGGTTAAATCACAGCTATGCAATATAATGATACAAGTATGAAAGCGTGAAAGTGTCGTCTCGTCTCGTCTCTGATGCGTATCGTACAAGAATGTTTGACCGAAAATCGAGATATCGATTATATGGCGACTAAAGCAGAGTTATGTACTCCAAAAGTCGCAGGGACCGGGCAATGATGGCGTATTAAAGAATTATATATCAAGTATGAGTCGTGCAGCGTAATGTCGTCGATGAGGCTCAAGATGCCCCGGAATCTGGATATAGGGGTGGAACTATAATCCGCTCTGTGGCGTCGGGACTTTGGTCCAGTCTTTGCAAAGTCCAAATACTGTGCGACAAAACTTGCCATACTCGACTAGCAGATCGAATTTCCTCCATGAGCCCAAGGCATGATGGACAAGCCGGGCATCTGGATCCGTAATAGGCTTCGAACCCATGTTTCCGTAGGATCCGCGACCGGGGCTGTAAAACGTGTCAGTCCCCACGACAAATGCCCAAGCGTAAACGCTATTTACCTGAAGCCAGTGATTGGCAAAATCAAAGCATCTGCCACGAGCTTCGTTTTGCCTCCGTCTTTCAGCCCAGTGAGGGCGTTCCACCGAAATCCATTGTCATGCTCCAGCCACAAAAGAGTAGCCAGCGTGACAGCAGCAGGGCCGGTTCGTGTGAGAGGGTCGGCCCTGTTGGGGTCATTCGTAGTCGCATTCTTTTCCAGGAGCACCTCGGCATAAAGATTGTCCATGAACTGCTTCAGAGCCGGGTGCCCAGGAGCAGACGCCAGCGCCCATTGAGTAAGCTGGATCGGATACGTGTATCCCATGCGCCAATAGGTGTTTGTATTTGGATCTGTGTCAGCCTCAAGCCCCCAGATAAGGTTAACGGGCTGTTTGCCATTGGCGGAAGGCGAAGCAGCCTCCTCTTCGGGTTTCTTGAAGCCGTAGCTTTTCCCAGTGATATCATCAATCCATCGAGCAAGATCTGACGGGCCGACCCAATCCGCCGGGTGTCGGAGAGGTTCTGTGTCAATGTCGGCATACTACAGTGGGTTAGAGGGGATTGAATTTCAAGAATAGGCAGAATACGGCTCGCAGCCTCGTCAAGAGCGATACGTACAATTCCTCCAAAGTATAGGCACGTTACGATGCGGAAGATGTCTGCCCTCTCGACCGGAGTGAAGATTGCGTTGAAATCCTCGACAAACCCCTGATCATACTTATCCATGAGCACGGCGATTCCCTCGTCGTCCCAAAAGAAGTACGCCATGGGCTCACTGTTGCTGGGAGACGTGGAATACTCAAGCCACCGCTCGACCCATGGGACGACATCAGGCTTCCAAGTGTTGACCTTGGACGAAGCTCCAGTCTGGTGCATCAGAAGTGGAATGTTGGAAAAGGCCACCTGCCGTTCGCGTGCAAAGAGGGCGGCCGTGGACGCCAGACTTGCGGCCTCGACAATGTCTGCTGGCGGCGTCTGGTCGTCGGCGAGCCAGCTCGGAGGAATGTACCACGCTTGGTGTTGATGTCAGCAGCAAACTCTCGTAGAAAAGTTACCACCTTTGTGGTTTTGAATTTGACTCGGGTTATGTCATGCCACCAGTCCCGAACGCCACAAAGTTAACAGCGACTTACCTCCTCCAACTCCATTGAATGAGTGAATGTGCTTCCATACTAAAGGATACTGTTGTTCCAGCAGCCGGGCGTCAAACTGGGGGGTTTCCCTCCGCTGGCCGCCCGAGAGAAGCCAGAATGCCGCTGCAAAGGCCAGGGCGGACAGCAGCATGAGCCGCAGCCGCCGGCGCAACAGACTATGGGGGAACAACATTGGCTTATGGGCACAAATCAAATGACCTGTGACGCGCGGGCATGCGTGCGTCTTTCGTAAAGACGCTGTAACTCCGAGCACAGCAAACTGGCGATAGTACACGTGCAGTCAAGGCTCACGGGCTCAAACGAGTTAGTCCCTTCGCGGGGGGGAACCCGACAACTTGCAGCAAGCAAGCACGAGATACGAGACAATTTAGACGACTGTCTGTTTTTGACAGGATGACAGGCACGAGCAGTCGTTTGTTCTGGAACCGGCGAGGCTCAGAGGGTGCTTTGACCAAGGCAGAGCACAAGCCACGAGCCAGAGAGAGCAAGGCCAAAATCCAACACGTCGCAGATTCTTACAAGCACCGCCAGAACACCAATAAATCAGGGGCCAGACTGTGGTTCTCGGCCCTTCTCCGAGCTGGCAGGGGGGGTCTTCATTCGGCTACTGGCACCGGTAAGCCCTGGATCGGTGGCCCGAAGCTGCGGCTGTCGTAGCAACTACAGTAGTTTGGGCGCCAACAGTGGCGCAGCGCAGCCGAGCCGGGGCGCTGGAGAAGCTGGAAGGACGGGCGGCACTTTGTACGTAAAGATGATGCGGAACGGCATTGGACGGATGGAGTCGATCGAGTTGGAAAAGAGGCGTGGAGGAGGAGGAGGAAGAGAAGGGGAGAAAGGAAAAGGAGGAGGAGGGACAAAGACGAGGCAGAAACTCGTGTACCTGGGTACCGTACACACCACCCACCTGGTACCTTCCGCTGGAAAACTCATCAGTCTGCCGCACCTTCCCTTCGGCCTGGGGCGTCCGCGGGAAGGAGCCTGGATGGCACCTGCGCAATGCCATTTGCTGCGCGGGCTCGCCTAGTCCCGACCAGGCATCGATACGGCGACTAGCTCTTGCCCCCAAGCGCAGCTGCCAGGTAGCGCCAAGGTAGCAGTACCAAAGTAGTGCCAAGGTATAGTAGCTCCTCGTGCCAAGTATCGCCCAAGGCACTTTCAGGCCGCGTCCCGGCAGAGTCTCGACTTGCGAGAGACTTGTGTGCTTAGCTCCAGATTCGAAAAAGCTTGGCACTGCAGATCCAAAAAGCTTAGCCATGCCATGTATCCCGAGTCTCGTCTGAGTACCGGGTACCTGTGGTTTGCCTTTACTGTGGTCACTCTTTTTTTATGATTGTATGGGCTCGATCTCCGTCGGAACTAACTATTGATGCCATACTGACTCTCTGAGATGACGACTACCCAGTGTCTTACCGTGATGATAGGATCTTGTGTCACTGTGAATCGAACTATTGGAGGCTGAATTGAATAGAGTTGAACAAGAAAAAATATTCCAAGGCTCTATTAACGGGTATTACTGAAGCTACACTGACCAAACTATAGATGTACATGGTGAAACATGAGAAGTAATAAGAGAAAAGAAAAGAAGAAAAAAAAAGAAAAACGCGGGAGGTCCTTTCCTTCTGGACCCTACATAACCCTCGCGTGTGTTGTTCCCGTTGCCCTTATGTGCACCTTGTGTGTGCTGTGTGTCCGTGATTTGTGATTTGTGTTTGTTATACGAGTGACCGATCTCCCATGCAATTGCACCATACCCGCCGCACAATTAATCTCCTCCTGACCAACAGGGCCACTGCGACGCCCACGAAGAAGAAGACAACCTGGTGCAGCCTCCGGCCCAGCGACGTGATGAATCTAGCGTCGTACGAGTGCCAGGATGAGCTTCCCAGATGCTCGAATATGGGGGTTGTTACCCGCCCGTTGAGGCTGTGCAGTGGTCCGGGCAGGATCTTCAGGCTGCTCCGGTCAGGTTGGGCGGCGTGGATGACCGAAGCATAGTGGCAGCCCGTGCTGAACATGACAGTCGCGTAGGGGAGGCCCAGCCAGTGCTTGTTGTAAGTGGCCAGGTTGTTGACAATATCGCCGACGAAGCTATTGCGCCTGCTGGACATCATGAAACCGACGGAGAAGCCGACAGGATGAGCTTCAGGCGCCACGAAGTCGAATCGTCGAAGAGGGCCGAGAGCGCGGGTGCATTTGAGGTCCATGTCCAGCACCACGCCGCCGTATTCGTAGAGAAGCATGTAGCGGAGAGCGTCGATTCGTTCAACGGGGTACGTGTAACTGTCCCACATCTCCTTGAGGTCGGGGAACTTGTCCTCGACGAATTGAGCGGCGGTGTCGTCTGTCCACACGTGAGTTTCCCAGCCGGGGTGGATGTCGATGCAGCTCTGAACCGTCTCCTTCCACTCTGTCCTCCATTGCGTGCCATGTCTGCCGAGGGCGATGTGGTGTAAGACGGGGGGCACGAGGTCCTCAAAGGGGGACGCCGAGAGCTGGTTTCTGCTGTAGTTGGAAAATGTGACGTCGAAGCCATCTCGTTCTTGTGAGAGGAGGAAGCTATCGCGATGGGCTCGCCAGTGGAGTGGGAGGGCGGCCAGCGTCCATGAGGTGTAGAGGAGATGGCGGAAGCAGAAGACGGCTGAGAAGAAGCTCAGGATCGCTAACCAAAGAAAGGTTCGCGCTCTTCTTTCGATTTTGTCGTTGGCAGTTCCGGAGTCGCGCAGTTTAATCATGATGCCAATGCTAGACAACTAGCGTTGGGAGATGGAGAGGAAGGAAAGGGGGGGAGAGACAAATGGATGAGTGACTGGAATGTGTCTCGGCTCCAAGAAGGAGAGAAGGAAAAGGGTAAAAAGAGCGATGGTGAGGTTTTTGATCGAGTTGTAACACGCCAGGAAAAAGAGAGAATTAGAAGAATAGGAGCATTATTTGAACATTAAAGTTTAGTTGAACATGTTTTGTGTCAAGGTAGAGAGGCGTGTGGGTAAAAAAGGAGGGAGTTGCTCTGGTTTTCAAACTGGAGTAGCGGCGTTGAATCTGAGGAACAAGAGCCCTCTCAACACCATTACTCGATTTAGCTCATCCAACCAAAGTCGGGGCCCTCTCGCACTTCCGCTCTGATTCTGACATAGCCCCCGTTCCACTCATTGAATCTCAGTAGCGCGTCATTGGACAATGCACACCTTGCAAAAAGGAGCTGGCACCCACAGCCAAGACACCAAGTACGAAAGAGCTGGCGTGGATCGCTAACCGTACCCGTGATTACGGGCCAATCCTACACCCCTCCACTCCCTTTCCCCTGTACGGCGTCAACCCTGAGAAGAGTTCGACAAATTAATGCCGTGGCAGTACAGTACGTACTATTCAAATGGAGAGAACTCAAAGACAGATGCTGAAACATGAGATCACAGCTCAGTTACGAGTATGAGTTGTCTCGACAGTGATTACGGACTAGGACTAGGAGTAACTCGTCTACTTGGTTGATAAGTGTTGTCAGGGGACATACATGAACGCTTCTACCAATCAAGAATATATTTTCGAGACGAGCGTGATGGCCAAGGGCTCTCGTCTATTAGATGAACCATGTGTACTGGCGAGATGGAGAAGCTGAGCGAGTCAGGGCGAGAGTGTCAAGGCCTTGTATCCTTTGTCAACCCTGTGCGCGCCACGATATGCCCATTCGTGGGATTGGCCCGTCAGAGTGACATGATGAAGCCACGCTAACCCCCATCGCTTATTGCCCATCAGCAGCTTAAATTTGCCCCCAAAAAGACGAGGTCAAGGTAACAAGCCATGCGCATGAAATAAACACTCGTTCGTTCGTTGTAGGGCTGCCAAATAAGCCCTAGCAAGCGCGCGGCGTGTCAAAACCACGCAGGGCGAGTCCCGCCAAGCAGCACCAGCGTAAGGCCGTCGCAGCAATTACACGTACCGACCCGGGACGCGGACCCTCTTTCGCTCACCTCATGCAACATCATTGCCGAATTGGAGCTTGGAGCTGTGCAGATTTCGGCATCTCGGCATGGGGTGGTGGCGGTCTTGGCCGGAACGCAGGCTTGGCTTTCCTGGAATGAAAAAGCTCGACACATGCCTTGTACATACAGACGGGTACGGTACTTGGGGCTCGGCTGAATACGCTTATAATACGAATGTTGATTTTAAAAAGGCGAACCATGTCTTGTCTTGGCGAGTTCGACCATGTGAAAAAGACGCTTGTCTCAGGGTGGGGGGGAGGCTGTATCGTCGTCTCGGCTTCAGCTTTTGCAACAAACTGTTACACGAGGGAAGCGTGCAAAAGAGCCTCAAGAGACTGGTACCCGAAGACTACCTGTACTCGTACTTTTCAACAGGGTCCATGTCATGCTAGTACGAAGCAGGTACGAGTCCAATGGGACAAGTACCCGGTGCCGTTATATCAATATAGGTATCAAAGCCTGCAAGTGTCATCACTGGTTTGACAGGGATCAGGCGGGTCTGGCGAGCTAAAATGCCATGCCTTACCACGCTCAAAGTTCCAAACTCCATTTGTCATTGCTAATTCTGTTGCACTGTTGCGGTACAACGCCGCTGTGGCACGCCCCCCAGCGAATTGGCACGCTCTGAAATCAGATCCTGGCTCTTGTAACCCACAGCTCAGGCTTGGGCCAAAGCCGCAGTCAAGCTTTTTGTGGCGGCGAGCCAGCCTGGTTCCAGAACGAATAAGCCATGAGGCGGTGCTTGTGTACATGTACTCGTATGCTGTAGCTATTTCGTTTCCGGGTCCCCAATGCCACGTCGGTTCTGGCCCAGTTCGGCACAGTTTACTCATCAGTCTTACATCTTCAAACTAGGAGCTGGAACGTTTGGGCACTGACAAGCCTGGGCTGCCTTTGACATTTTCAACTCGCGAGTCCCGCTCTAAGCGGCTTAAACAGTCCCTTGTTTTCCCTTTCCTTCTTCCTCTCGTTTCCCTCGTGACTTTTTTGTGTTTTATTTTTGTCACGGCACGTGCTGGCCATGGCGCGCAAAATCCGCGATACCAGAGTCTTCAGGGCTTGCTATTGGCTTGTGGGCACGCGAAGCCGACGCCGCACCTTGCTTCGGGTGGCCATCGTCATACTCGTCATCCCTATTGTCTTACAATGGTTCCTCGCCTATATCGTTGGTAGTGATGCACGCCTGCTGCCGCCGGAGCTGCTACGGTCAAAGAACCTCTTGGTGGTGACGGCACACCCCGACGATGAGTGCCTTTTTTTCTCGCCCACCATCCTGGGCATCCTCGATAGGAACCGTGCTATCAATGGCGGGTTGCTAGTCATGTCGACCGGTTAGTTTGTCTTCCTCTTGGCTCCGTTTTCCCCGCATTAGACGAGGCTATGCTAAGACAATCGTCACTTGCGACGTGTGCAACTATTTAGGAAACAACTATGGCAAAGGCGAGACACGCAAGCTAGAGCTGAAAGGCTCATGTCAAGCCTTGGGTATCAACCCATCGAGATGCGAGGCATTGAACCACCCTAGCCTCCAAGACAATCCCCGGAAGTGGTGGGATACCAACCTCATCCAGGCCATCGTGAGGGAGTATGTCAAGAAGTGGGAGGTTGACGCCGTAGGACCCCTTTCTCCCCCTCTCTTTCACGAGCTTAGCTCGACGTACTGTGGGATGCTGACGTACATGAACAAACCGCATAGATCATTACCTTTGACGAGGGTGGTGTGTCTGGACACATCAACCACAGAGCTGTCAGTGCAGCCGTGAGGTACGCCACTCCCTTGCATTGTATCCTGGGCGATGTAACGCAATCCATCTGCTTGAACTTGCACTGACTCCTCATGGTCTTATAGTGAATATGTGTTGAGTGGCAAAGATGCTCCTCCAGCATACAAGCTTGTCACTACGGCAGTTCTCAGGAAATATACTTTCCTCTTCGACCTGCCATTGACAGCGCTATCCTTCACCTGGCGAATCATTTCCGCGGTGTTTTATCCGTCCTCAAAAGCGAGCCCAGACGTTAGCTCAAAGGCTCTGTTGGCCAATTCGTGGCATCGTTATGTCATGACGCGCGGCGCCTTTGCCAGTCATGAAAGCCAGTATACGTGGGACCGCCACCTGTACATGATTCTCAGCCGATATGTGTGGTTCAATGATCTCAAGAGAATACCGACTCAAATAGCATCATCATCATCATGATACATAATAATAGTAATTGACATGGTAAAAAAAGGGTTTAGCTTGATCGCCGATCTAGTTGTAATGACATGGTGGAATTCCGCATCCGGTCACTAATACGAGCAGGGGACATTGAGAGAAGCGTCATGAGCCAGCATGAACACCGAATCTGGAGTCAAATCGTTCATAGCAGCTTTCTCTCGGCCCCAGCGGGCATCAAAGCCTGTCCTCTGTGGCGCAATTGGCTAGCGCGTCTGACTGTTAATCAGGAGGTTGGAAGTTCGAGCCTTCCCGGAGGAGTCACAAGCAGCTATTTCTCTTTCTTTTTCTCTTTTCTCTTTTTTCCTTTTTTTGTCTAATCAACTAGGTGTTGGAAGACTCGGTAAGGATAGCCTCTAGTTGTCAAGGGCCAACGCAAAATGAAACGTGCAATGTTGTTATATGTTAGCTCGGCAATAGTTTGAAGGAGGATTTGCTTGTTGGCGGTCTGCATGAGCTATACAATGCAACCCTGCTCATTCATACAACTAGACTGCATCTTAGTCGCTCTTATCGTGGTTCTAGATCTTCCTAAAGCCACTCCTCCAGAGAAGCACGCCATTGATTGAGCATGGATCAACTACCGGTAAGAGCATTTGAAAAAAAATTCTTAATCCAAACAAGTTTCCTCGTTTGCCAAGCTTGGACCAAAGTCTAGCGAAACTCCAGACCAAACACCGACATTCAGGTGAAGAAATGCCAAGAGCAATAGCATCTCGGTTCAAGCTTCTCTGGTCGTGCGCTAGCCAATAGGGCTGGGCCCACCTTGAAAACAAAATAATAAAAGTTGAAGCTGAACGAAGGGCTGATGCTTGGCTTTTGGGCTGGAACAAGGGTTCGCAGCAAGCTAACGGAATACGACGGTAAGCCAATAAGCCAAAGACATGGTTAAAATGAGGGTTGTGGGCCTTGCTTCAGCCCAACGCCCATGGCCTTCAACAACCGTCCAGCTGTCGCGACTTTATTCTCTCTAGTCTCGAGGTCGGTTATTTTGGTAGCCTGGGGTGGGCAAATATGCGATTCATATAACCAAATCAGGCTACGTCTGTCGGTAAATACAGCATCGTGTGCTAGGCAAGGCTGAGAACCAAGGCGTAGACGGGGTGGACTTTTCCCGCACCACGTCCCCATCTGACCCCCATATTGTCAGTGCGCTTCTGACGCGATTGCAAAAAAGAATTTGTGACAGATGCCGTACCCCATATGCTGATGCCCCCAGAAGCGGCAACGCCTTGAGAGGTTAAGCGATAAGCGGCCTCCCCCTTGGTACCGTAGTGACACAGGCATTTAGCTTCGAAAGTTGAGTCTCAAAACATATAAGTTCCTGTCCTAGAAGTTCGCCGCCCTACGAGCCTAAAAGGGGTGTCCTTGGGCCATAGGTTGTCAAGTTCCAGAAAGCTTGGCTAAAATAGGAATACCAAGAGAGAGTTGACTGGGTGCTAACTTTGGGTATCACCCCTGCAGTGATTGACAACACACTATACCGAAAGGCAGTGCCGAGCTGAGTTGGGGTGTCTTCTTATCAACTTCAAAATACGCAATATTGTCTGATTATAGGGGCATGTGGGTATTTCTCCAATGATCATATTCACACCATCTACGAGGTACTATGTGAATACGAAGATGGTGTGGAAATCGTAGTTTGAGACAATTCACTTGATGTGCGAGTCAAGAATTTTGATTATCAATAACACCTGACTCGAAGCACCAGTGGCTCTGGTCTTCATTCAAAAGTATCATGATCAATAACCAAGAGGCGAGCTTGAAACGGTGAGCGGATACAGATGGAGGGTACCTGCGTCCGAAATAAACCGGTGCCTTGACGCGCTGCGGAACTCCTACACTGATCTCAGACGAATGCTACCTTCTGGATATAGATATCCGCTTTGTATACGTGTCATTGTAAATTTCTCAAAAAGTACAAGCGTATATGACCCTTTTGACAAGACTGTGTGTGTGAAAAGTTAAAGAATGATCCATCAGGGAACTCAACATTGATCACAATGCGAGCATTGATAAGGTCGGGCTTCATCTCGGGCACCAAGCCAAGCATCAGCACCAAGGCATATTATGTCCATCTACAGTAAAGCCTCTAGGTAAATTTAGCAATCGCCCTCCCCACAGATGCAGAGCTGAATGGTTATGATTATAGGGGTTGTGATAGTGAAACGGGGTACTTTTGTTTAGATGGGGGTAGACGAGATGTATCAGTACAATGTCAAAGCGGTAGAATTGCTGTACTCATTAAAGGGGTAGCTTATTGCGGTAACTAACATGAGTAAAAAGTCTCATGTTATTATCAAGTTTTGTAAACAGGAAATATCACTTAGGTATACATCAAATCTTGGCGGCTTCTCAGCACGGTGATCATGCGTGAGTGCATCGACGATCAAGTACAGACTGTAATTTGTCAGCCAGGGAGAATGACAGTGCTCTGACGTGAATACGACATCTCCAGAACTTTCTACGGGCTGAGGTAACGACAGTCTTGCGATGATTTGTCTCCTTGTAGTTAAACGTTCTAGATGCATTCAGAATGCAATTCTATCAACGATAAAAGTTACGCTTGGAAGAATGCGCTCACAGAATTCATGTCACCTGCTTCGTACAATATTTTCTCTCGAGGACAACAACTCCCTCGGTCAATATTACAGTTGAATAAATTGACGCTGCTGAGATATCGCAGAATGAAATTCCCGTTGCTCTCGCAACATTGTAATACCACAGGAAAGAGAAGGACTTTGAAAATGTACAGTAAATGAGTATAAAACCTCACTAGACGCGTGAAATACAGCTTTGTTCTGTGGTTTCTGGACAGTTCGCCTTTCTATCCTTCTATATGCATTTTTCACATACTGCGGCTGGCTTACACCATATTCATCCGCGGAATGCACTGCTTGAGCATAACTTTGACATTCCTATTATGTGCCAGGATGAAGATACTAGATGGTTGAAAATATGATGCTTATCAATCTCATAGCAGCGCAAGCAAGTAAGGTACATGTAGTCATAGTACACGTGATAGGGGCTCTAGACTTGCGTGTCAACCAGTTGTCAGTTTCGACTGAAGCACGATGAGCTGGATCGAGAGCACAAAGATTCAGCCAGACGTTATGCAACTATCAATTTTATGAGACTCTCATTATCACCTAATAGCTAGATGGAATCTCTTGGAGTTGAAATAAGAATACGATTACGGGATACATCATAAGCGCATACGCGTATTGGTATCATTGATGACTTGATACAAGATGCTATACGCGCCACAGATCGGTACTCGTACCCGGCCATAGAGACTATAGTATCTAGCTATCGTCCGCCTATTTTTGAAGCAACTTATAAAGAGCCAGGTTTCGAGAACTCGATGCTAGGCTCAAGTTGTTGGATGGAGGAGTTTGGCCAGCAACCTCATTGAGGCAACACACAGTTGACAAAGCTGAGGAATCCGATTAAGGGAAGAAATTCCGCTGAGAGTGTTGAATCATTCGTTCTGATAAAATGAAACCCGTAACAAAAGGGCTATTGGTTATGAGTTTGGCAATTGCAGTGTGCGAATAAACAAGATGCATTCGGGATTCGCATCTAGATACAAGTAGCTGAACAATACGCTGCACCTTGTCCCAAATGTCGTAACGTTTATACTACAGCCTCCGGAAAGATCCTCCCCCCTTAACTCTATCAGACATATAACATTCTTGGTTTCAAATACGATTGACCGCTTCATTTATCTAGAATGATCCCAAATTTCGGTTGTCATAGAGAACAAAAGATCGATTCTAGGTTAGGTGAACTCCCGTAATTTTGGATATCGTGAAATGCACAGCCACAACATTCAGCCACATAGCGGGGGGTTCATGTGGCTTTACCGCTATCAGTCGATAAGAATTTTTTGGACGGAATTTTTCTTAGAGGGGCTCAAAAATTGTGCCGTAAAGATTCGCAGCTTCAATTTTGCGATTCCGCACAGAGTCCAGATTCAACGTGAGTGAAGATGCGCATTGATTGATTCGTATGGCGCATCTGACTGACATAAAAGCTTTATCAGGTAATCTAGCGAAACTCTGCATATCACAATCACAATGTCGAAGCGCACAGCGGACGATCATGGCGACCTGCCGCTCAAGGGTGGTGAGCGCCCCGAGCAGATGGATGTCGATATGGACAAGGACATGGGCGAGTTTGAGGACGAGTTTGAAGATGAATTCGAGAGCGAAGACGAAATCATCGAGGCTGGTGTAGATGGACGGCCAGATGCCGAGAGAGAAGCCGAGGAGAAAGAGCGTAAGTGTCCAGCACCTTTTGCGCATTGCGCTGGGCTGGTCGGCGAGATTCAATTGGGAGGCTGCAGCTGACGACAATTGGTTGCTACAGAGGCTATGGAGGTCGATCAAGGAACCTTCATTGTCGGACGAAGCAAGCTAGAGCCTGGCCAGACGCTGGCGCCGGACTTGACGACATACGAAATGTTGCACGGGCTCAACACGCCCTGGCCCTGCTTGTCCTTTGACATTGTCAGGGACTCCCTCGGCGACAACCGCAAGGCTTACCCTCACACCATGTACACCGTCACCGGAACACAGGCCGAGTCCTCAAAGGCTCACGAGAACGAGCTGCTGGTCGTCAAGTTCAGCGGCCTGAGCAAGATGGATCGCAACGGCGGCGACTCCGACTCCGAGGACGACGACGACGAGGATGCCGATCCCATCCTGGAGAGCAAGTCGATTCCTCTCAACTCATGCACCAACCGTATCCGCACGCACCAGATCCCCAACCAAGACCCTTCCAAGCCTCCCACGACGCTCACAGCCACCATGACCGAATCAGCACACGTCTTCATCCACGACGTCACCCCCCATCTCACCTCGTTCGACGTCCCCGGCACCGTCATCACGGCGCAGCAGAACAAGCCCATCTCTACCATCAGGGCGCACAAGTCCGAGGGCTTCGCCGTGGACTGGTCGCCGCTTGTCCCCGGCGGAAAGCTCCTCACCGGCGACAACGACGGCCTCATCTACATGACTTCGCGCACCGACGGAGGCGGCTGGGTCACCGACAGCAGAGCATTCCAGGGCCACACCGGCAGTGTCGAGGAGATCCAGTGGTCTCCCTCCGAGCAGTCCGTCTTCGCATCCGCCTCCAGCGACGGCACGATCCGCATCTGGGACGTCCGCTCCAAGTCGAGGAAGCCCGCCATCACGGTCCAAGTCTCCGACTACGACGTCAACGTCATGTCGTGGTCAAGACACCAGACCAACCTGCTCGCCTCGGGCGCCGACGACGGAACATGGGCCGTCTGGGACCTCCGGCAGTGGAAGGGCAACGCCAACAAGCCCCAGCCGCTGGCCAGCTTCAACTACCACAAGGAGCAGGTCTGCAGCATCGAGTGGCACCCGACGGACGACTCCATCGTCGCGCTGGCCTCGGCCGACAACACCGTCACGCTGTGGGATCTCGCCGTCGAGCTGGACGACGAGGAGAGCAAGGACACGGCCGGCGTCAAGGACGTGCCGCCCCAGCTGCTCTTCGTGCACTACCTCAAGGACGTCAGGGAAGTGCACTGGCACCCGCAGATTCCGGGCAGCTTGATTGCCACGGGCGAGGAGTTCAGCGTGTTCCGGACCATTAGTGTTTAAGGAGGAAAAACAAAAAGACAATTTTCGGCTTTTTTTTTCTTGTATATACCCGTTGTGATTATGGGCATGCTTCGCTGGTATAGATAGTGGGAGTGTGCAATAGATGGATGAATTATGACATGCTACATGGCTACTATGCTGAATGTTTTCTGATGGATCAGCGAGCTGCATTATATCTAAAAAGAGGCGAGTGAAGTTCTCAAGTCTGATCCCGGGATTTTGACTCGAATTGATATATAGAGCAGAGGCAAAAGCTCATTATTATTTCATTATTCGTAATACTAAGTAATTTATTTGAGGTCCTTTTCCGGATTAGTTGTCGGTGAATCTGAGCCATTTCCTTCATGGCTGCCCACCGGAACTCCCACCGTCGTGATTTCACCATCTTCTCCCGCACTCCTGACTGGGGGACCAGTGAAATTTTTGCGCGCATAGGCAAAGTACCAGATAAAGGCAATGGCTCCAAAGCCAGCAAACACCACTGACGCATAGTTCATGGTCGTGGCATCAACCGGCAGCGAGACGGGCATGCAGAAAATGACGACGGAGAAGACGATCCAGACGATGCAGATGACGTTGATGATGGGGCCCATAACGTTACCGAGGGGATAGGGCGAGTGTTGTACAGCTTTACGGCGCTGAACGAGGTTGACGAGGACGGGAACACCATATGACGTAGAGAGACAGATGGTGGCGACTCCAGTGAAGGAATTGAAGGCGGCGGAGGACCCGAAATAGATGCATCCAAGAATGCAGTCGACCACCGTGGACAGGACCAAAGCCCAAATGGGCACATCCAAGGACGTGTTGACCTTGCGCCACAGCTTATAACCAGGAATAGCACCGTCTCGCGCAAAGGCGTATGTGCATCGCGAAGCCGCCGTGAGAGCTCCAATACCGGCAAACATCAGGATTCCAAGAATGAGGAACAAGAGGCCAAATCCGCCCGCCGCAGATCCCGTGACGATCTTGAAGATTAAGCCGATTGGCTGAGAGTTTGCGACAGTGAGCAGCGTCTGGACGTCAGGGAGAACGAAGAGGAGCGGAATGAGATAGATGACGCCGGTGAAGCCAGCGGCAACGACGGAGAGGACAATGGCCTTGGGGACTTCGCGCTCGGGATTCTGTACTTCTTCGCACATGGCGGCAACCATGCCGTAGCCGGTAAGAGTATAAGCAGCTATATGAGACACAGAATCAGTAATTAGTTAAATGACCTGATTGAAGAAGGGATAGGAAATGAGACGTGGCATGAGAACGTACCTTGGAGAAGCCCGACGAAAAAGGACCAGCCGGTTGGCCATCCGCTGCTTGATGCGTCGTAGTGAGCAAAGACAAATTCGCCGGATCGTCGGTGGTCGGCCATGGTGAGCAGGGTAATCATAATGATTATGACACTAGCAGCAGTCCAGTATATACAAATCTTGTTGATGAGATCCAAATATCGCGAGCCGAAAGCATTGACCAGAGCGCACACCAACATGACGGCCCAGAAGCACAACACCGTCTGCCATGTATTCGCCACAAAGTCTTCGTTGAAAATGGAGATGGCGCTCAGAATCAATTGCGCGCCGGAGAAATTGATGCTCAGAGTCACTGTCCAGTTGCCGACGAGGGTAAGCCATCCGTCCACGAAGCTGACTAGAGGCGCCCATTCGCGAGAACTTAGCATGGCGGACCAGTAGTAGACGCCGCCGGCCGTGGGGAAGACGGCGCAGATTTCGGCGAGAGAAGCGGCGATGCAGACGGAGATGAGGGAGACGAGTACCCAGCCCCAGAGGACGGTGACGGACTGGCCATTGGTGAGAGTGATGTACAGAGTGGTGCTGAGGCCAAAGGGAACGGCCATGATTGCGAAGGAGAGGCCGAGGATGGACATCATGGAGAGATGACGAGGCAATTCTGCCTTGTAGCCCAGCGAGGCGAGGGCCTGGTCGGCCGTCTGGGCGCCGCTGCCAACGGAGGAGCGGCGACGGCGAGAATCCATGGCTACAGGAAGATCTCGTCTATGTACGCATGTATGTATGTTTGTGTAAGAGGCACGCGATGCCAATCGGTGGTTGTCGGTGAGGAATTGCTTCCTAGGCAGTCAGCGAGGGCGAGTCTACGCAGGCGCCAATGTGTGGTCAATGTCAATGTCTAGCCAATTCAAGAACCATGCAACGCAGAGAAACAAAGAAAAGAAGAGGAAGAGGAAAAAGGAAAATATGAAGAAGAAGAAGAGACAGGCCGCAACTGGAGACATGGCCAGGGCTGTAGATAAGAAAGCTCGTCAGATGCTATCTATCGCGTGCCGCAATGGTTCATCCGATGACGACGGCCGAGGCTCTCCCATGCTTGATGCGTCGCTTGATGCGCCCTCCGCAGCTTAGCCTGGGCCCTAGTCGTGGCTTCATCTCGAACGAGTAACGGCGGTGCCGATTCTGGCGCAAGCATTCGCTGGCTGACGATAAGCTTGTTTTGCCCTGCTGCTTGCCGGCGTCGAGGTACGCGATGCCGATTGTCTCAGATTTCGATCTCGACGTCCATGTGGCATCTGCGGGAAACATGCCGTGCTCCTCTCTGATCTGTATGTACAATGCGACCCCCATTGACCGTGATTCTCGTCTCCAATTGCAGCTGAAAAGGCCAAGCGATGGCCCGAAGGCAGCAGCGCATGATAGCAATGCAACGCAAATCGGACCGCACGAGTCAAGGATTGTGTCGGCCAGGGATCAGGACCTAGCAGCAGCCAATCCTTAGCGCTCGCCGTTGTCGATTTGCGGGGAGGCCGCGGCAGCATGGCGAGATAAGCATCCCGTTTCGTCTTTGCAGTGACTGGAGAATATTGCACAGGCGACGTGTCTGATTCGGTTTGCAGATTCGCAGGTCGCACGAGTCCCACATGATGCGCGATAACGGCGTCTTCCCCAGATCTCGAGCAGCGCTAAGGGTTGCTGTTATGTAAATGGTGTCGATTGACGTGCGGAGGGGGCAGTACGTTGGAACGCAAAAGCACGTCAACTACTTGTCATCTGAAGCCCGTTGCAGTGAGTCTGTGAAGAATCCCGAATCATGAAGCTTTATTATAGAGTCGTGATGGCTGACTAACAGATCCATGATACTCAATCAAGGCAGGAAGGCACGCTGAGCACTGCAACTGCCATCTCCGACTGCCGCTTACATCATCCCCTGTAATTTATCTCGTCCTCTTTTCTCATCCTCTTTTCTCCCTCACATTCACACTCCGCTCTCTTTATCCCTTTTACCATCGATTGTTTCCAATCGCCGCCAATCTTCTATGGCTTCTCACCGTTGGTTTTGTCGTGTCCATTCTCTCCATTCTCTCCATTCACCTTCTTCTCCGGCTTCACAAGCCCTTCCACAAGTCCTCGCGTTTCCTGCAGCGTTTCTGCCATGCCCGCCAGCGCCTTGACATCGGCTGCCACGATGATAAAGGACATGCGCTCTGCAGCCTTCTTGAAAGACTCTGGGCTGCCAAAGGGGGGACTGGTAAAGGCAAAGCCGCCATAGGGCTTATCGTGCTTGTCCAGGACATCAAAGAACTTTTGGCGAGCCTCTAGCCACTCGGGCTCGTTGCCGCCCATGCCGTAGTTGCTTGCTAGATTCATTTCTACACGACAATCGAGACTTCCGAGCCACACAAGGTCGATATCGGGCACCTCGGTGAGGATGGCGTCCAGGTTGTTGATGCCTGATGGATGAAGACTAAGTTAGGGGTATCCATTTGACGGACGGCTGCAGACAAGCCGAGTCTCAAAGCTGAGGGAATGGAAACACACCTGCTAGCGATTCAATCTGAATCATGATGGCGGCCTGATCATTGAGCGCCTGAAAGATGTCTCTGCCCGGCTGGAATGCCATATCTGTGACACCAGGCACAAGTCGGAAGGGGGGTGCTGAGCGAGTGCCGTTTTGCTTGGACCCAAACTTGGCTGACGATACAACATGCTTTGCTTGCTCAACAGTTTCAACCTTTTTTACATCCGGGTCAGCTTTGCTATCTTATAACGTGGCGCTTTGTGGTGCTATTGATCGCGTATCACTTACTTGAGGAATGACAAGACTCGCGCCAGCGTCCAGCGCATATCCAATCGAGGCGTGGTCATGTCCTGGCACTCTGACAAACGGGATTGTCCTTCCTTGGCTCATGAAGATGGCCTCATGAACAATGGTTGTCATCGTCTCAACGTTCATGCTGCTGTGCTCCCAGTCGACCCAGACGACGTCAAAGTTGAGAGGTGCCACAAAGCGTGAGATTTTCGTGGATCCAAGGCCGCCATAATATCCCAACAACGGGGGAATCTTCTTCTTGTGAGCATCTCGGATGGCTTGACGAGTGAGGTGAGGCTGGAAAAGAGAGGGCGCAGCATATGCGGCCATGCCTTGTGCTGAAGCCATTATGACAATGTGCGTGTGAAAATACTCGGTGAGGTATAGTTCGTTTAGCTGGGTATGCGAGGTGTTGCTGAGAAAGCAAGTGATGGATTGAATGGCTGGTGAGTAATGAGATCCGGATGAACGGTTACCTCCCAGAGGCCACCGTCCCTTTTATAGTTCCAAGTTGCTTCACCTCATCTCCAATCAATCCTGCTGCTCACCTGTTGTGAGCTCCTTACTTCAACTAAGGCTTACCCGCTCGTGAGCTTATTGCTTCAAGGAGGGTCAGCTAGGTACAGGTTAGCAAGATGAGGCGACACACCCTTTACACCCTCCACACCCTCCGGCATCATTATACCAAGGTTAATGGCTGAATCGACATCCCAATTTTGGAAAATGACCCGCTTATATCCAGAATTTAGCTACTGATACAGCAATATGAAAGTTGACTGATCGAATGGTGCATACAACGATGGGCAAACAAACGCTGATCATGGCCGCGGAACCCCTATTATTCGGCAACAAAATCACGGTGCGGCCAAAAGTCGTCATCTAGAAGCCACAGGTTTACGACACATGTCCTCGCTATTGGATTCTTCTCGGCGGAATTAACGGTTAGCCGGTGATAACACAAGTAAGGGGGCTCGATTTGACAGATGGAGATATGATGAATGCCGGACATCATATCACCACGGCTGGCGGGCGCCACAGCCTCCTTCTTGGCGGCTTTGGCCCACTCCGCCGCTTGAAAGGGATATTGGTCCATATCTAGACGATTTCAATGTTCTTCATCTATCGCATGTGCGGACTATTTGATCATCAATTCTCCAATTTACATAACTTGTCCGGGATTAATTACTCCTAGCCTCCGGGTATCAGGTGTGCTAACGCAATATTACAATCACTAGACCTAAACCATGAACTGTGAGAAGTGACAGCATGTGGTCTGTATAAAGTACAGCAGAGATTTGAATGACAGATAAAGAACCCTGAACAGCCCGTCATCGTATTCACATTCAACCGAGCCAATCGGTAGTAACTGCTCAATGGCAGCTGCTTATGTGTAATTTACCGGATCCATGGCGCCGGAAATAGTTGTACGAACTCCTGCTGCGACCAAAACTGAGGTACGTAGTGTTGCATTGGGAATATATTTCCCGATCTAGGTACTTGATGTAATGTTTCTCACGTTGGACCGCTGGCAAACAGGCTCGATTAGAGCAGCCAATACATGTCAGTCTTATGAGACATTCCGACTCTTACTCCTGGGTCATAGGGCTGAGGCGGGGCGACAAAAGTAGTCGTTAACCGGTATACGAGATACTCAATTGCTTGTGTGTTGCTACTCTCGTCTTGTTGAATCATGTTGACAAACAAGACCGGATAAGAGCATATATTCTGTGCTCCTTCTCACAGAATATTTCGCAGACTGTTGCCATGTTCCACAAATACAAGCATATGATGGAATCCAATGTATTACCCTCAATATTTTGGCTTCTTCCTTCGCGCGGGCACAGATGAGGACACACCGTGGGGTTCCCAAGGGACCGAGTCTCTTTGTCATAAACTCATTCTCTCCCGTCAGAACTAGGAACATGGCTAATACGCCCTCTAGCCTCGATCACGTCAAATTGGTTCACCGACGCTGTTCTCTAGTGTGATGTGAGATCAGGGGACAAATTCATACCGTGGATTATGATTCTTGGGCTTTTGCGGACCGGCTCCTTCGGCTCCACACTCGAATCCAACCTCAAGTTCCGTCAGTGTGCAAACACTGCAAGGGCCGGCAAGCCGGTGCGTCTCTGTGGTATGGAATCAGACTTTTGGCCAAGACCGAAAGGCAATTGCGGAAATGTGATGTATACACTCCATGAGACGTAAAGTCATGGAATTGGCGTTCATACTTTTCGTGGACGAGATTTTGGTCATAATTCAGTTTACTTTTATGGTTCATTTGGAATGCTTGCTTATCCCCAAAAGGGGCAAACTCCTCGACTACTCGCACTGTCAGCATTTTCCAAAACTCTATCGACCCGGAGTCAGCAGTAACTTCAAAAACCCTGAGCCACAAGAGCCTTGTGGGGACGCCATGAATTCCGCTGCGGTTTATCCAGTGCATTATTCATCTGTTAAATAGCTAGAGGCGGTAAAGACGGCAAGGAACGAGACAGCTTACCCCTTAGTCTTATCACTCAGATGGAATCAGAGACACTATCAGACTTGGCTGCTGATAATGTTGTGATACACATCACATAACCATTCAACTTGTATATAAATAGACTAGAGGGTTGCCAAGAGTTATAAAGATGTTGTATTGAGTCTGGCACGATTACCTCATCTGCTCCGAGTGAAACCTTTCGTTTGTCATAGAGTCCGGTGTTAGGTAATTCGCCGTAGCGAATTCTATTTTAATACAAATCATTAAGCGATGCCTGGACCACCCTTTAAAGAACTTCCCGTCTAATATTGGCCCAAGAGTTGTGTGATAGGTAAGAAACACGGCAATACGTGTAATTCGTAAAGCAACGGTTGTCGGGCGTAAGTCGCTAGTGCTGTAAGAGTGAAATGACAACTTGACATGCTCTTATAGGGTGTAAACGGAATTCA